ATTGATCTGCATCCAGAAATACAGTTTGAGCCATCTGGAGACTTTCTTTCTTGAATTAATCAAGCAGAAAAGACAATTCTCTATGATCATTACTATTTTACAAATGTTTGATAATCAAATTGTGTTAGTTCACTGAGGTTGACAAGTATTGACTAGATCTAGTCGAGCTCACCTTAATGCACGGGATCTGGAATCTTCTCAAAAGGGGCTGGACACTTTGCCACTCTGGAGTTCTCCATAGTGAGAGCTGCCAGGCTGGTGTGGGCCTGCGTATCATCCCACCGTGCTTTGGGGTTTTCCCCAGTACTAAAAGAATAGCTTTACAGAACCTTTTAGTAGGTGATCTCTCAGTTGACCTGGAACTGGAAGAGATACTGTAGCTGTGGAAAGGGATGTCCGGGCCTCCCTGCTTAACCTGCTGTTCAAGGAAACTAACTTTGGAACGCACACAGATGAACGGACAGATGGCCCAAAACAGCTACTGCCCCAAACTTCAACATCAACATTCGTCAATAAGCCCAAATATTAACTTGTGGCTTATTTTTAATCCTACTTTAAATCAGGGCTTCTCAAACCCGATATTCAAAAATCCAAATCTAATTTCTAGAGAAAGTCAAATTGTCCGGCAGACCATAATGCGAGTGTTCATCTAAAGTGTTAGCAAAATATCTCACAAACCACTGGACAGATGTAAATGAAACCGTAATCACTGAATGTACATCTACTACTGATTAACTTCTGGAGTCACAATTCAAGATGGTCAAGGTGGATCTTTGTTCAGTAAGAATGTCCTAAAAATAACTATTACTGAACGAGAGAACAAATGAATGAAAGGGTGTTACCACATATACGATCTGCCTCGTGTACCTTAAAATCAGTGTGTGTGTGTAACAGATCAGGCTCATCACTTTGGTTTCCCAGGATGGTGACAAGTGGCTCTGCTCTGCTGGAGGTTGTTGCCATGGAAACACGTAGGGTCACCCGGACCCTGCTCGCCAGTGCTCAGGTCAGGTAATTTATGTGCTGGGAACAAATGATGAGTAATGACTTTGTCCTTGGGGACGAGAAGAGGTGAGCAAACATCATGGTGTGTGTGCAGATGATTTCAGTAGGACGGTTTGTTTCTGCCATACACACACACACACACACACACACACACACACAGAGAGCGTAGGATGGTCCAGTCGGCCTTTTGTTGGAGGGAGCTGTTCAGCAATAACCTTGGTCAATTGTGCTGCATTTACAACAGCCCACGTCTTCTTTTAGGGCCTTGTAATTCCTGCACTCTGCTTCTCTCAGGAGCATTTCATGTTTTCATTCTACCGTTCTCTCATTTTTGATAAACACTGAGGGAAGAAGGAAAACCGCTCAGATCATTCCTGTAAAATGTTTGCCGTTTCTCGAAAAAATGTTTATACGCATCTCCATCGATCCTTACATCCCCAGTCTGTTCTCTGCTTCCCCGACGCGTAGGAAAACCAGTTTGGGGTCCAGAACAAGAAGTTTGAACTCCCTTCAGTGCCGTCCAAATATTCCTGTTTCTTCTCGTCTACTTTCATTCAGATTGAAGAATAAGATTTAAGTTTTACACAAACAGGTCAGCATAACGACCCAAAAGGAACACAACTCTGATTTCCATGTGAAATGAGGACAACCAACCAAAATTAAGTTGAACTTTAGTGCCATCTAGTGACAATTCAACATTTTACACTCAGCATCACATTTTTTCTGACCCTGGGGTTGTTCATAGCCTGCAGGTGTATGGATGTCCAGTCACAAGGATTTCTCAGGAAGGTTTTGAGCCAGCTGCCTCCGGCTCACTCTACATCAGAGGCAGGCTGTGAGGTCTTCTCTGCTGTGCCGGCAGGCTTCTCACCGTCAGGCCCATGACTCAATCAGGCCCGTTTTTTAATATGACAAGCCACTCTAAGGCCTCGAGGTGTGTCGCACAGAAGAAAATCTACTTTTTGGCATTATTTCAAAGGCTTTCAGTGTTTCTATCACTAAATGAACAGAAACACTTGAAACTTCACTTATCACAGAAAACAACTTAATTCTGCTTGGTTAACAGATACAGTAGGGATGCACAATATTGGATTTTTGACCGATATCCGATATGTTAAAACTTAGTTGGCCAATAACTGATACCAATACTGATTTTTTTTTTTTTTTTTGTCCTAGACTTACTTACAGACACTACATACTTTCTCTGCTGTGGAATTAAAATACATTATTCTGCATGGTCTTTGTCAGTTTGGCCTGATACCAAATGTAGATGCTAAAAAGGGGCTGAAAATGATGCTTGGATTATGTTTAATGTCAAAGTTTGTCACTGGGTTGTCAATACAAAAACAGCACCTTCATGTGTGTGTGTATATATATATATATATATATATATACATATACATATATATATATATATATATATATATATATATATATATATATATATAGTGTGTGTGTGTGTGTGTGCGTGTGTGTGTGTGTGTGTATGCATGTGTATAAAAACAGTGCCTTTTATATCGGTGAGTTTTGATGGAATGACCGATATCCGATATTTAACTTTAACACAAATATCGGCCAATATGCGTGGACATCGGGGGAAGTTCCCCTGGATTGGCAGACCAGGGTGGTGATCCCCCTATTCCAAAAGGGGGACCGTAGAGTGTGTTCCAACTACAGGGGGCTCACGCTCTTAAGCCTCCCTGGTAAGGTCTATTCGGGGGTTCTGGAGAGGAGGGTCTGTTGGATAGTCGAACCTGGGATTCAGGAGGAACAGTGCGGTTTTCGTCCTGGTTGTGGAACACTGGACCAGCTCTACACTCTCAGCAGGGTCCTGGAGGGTGCAAGGGAGCTTGCCCAACCGGTTTACGTGCTTTGTGGACTTGGAGAAAGCGTTGGACCGCATCCCTCGGGGACCCTGTGGGGGGTACTCTGGGAGTATGGGGTACCGGGCCCTTTGATATGGGCTGTTAGGTCCCTGTATGACCGGTGTCAAAGCCTGGTCCACATCGCCGGCAGTAAGTCGGGCTTGTTCCCGGTGAGAGTTGGACTCCGCCAAGGTTGCCCTTTGTCACCGATTCTGTTCATAACTTTTATGGACAGAATTTCTAGGCGCAGCCAAGGTGTTGAGGGGATCTGTTTTGGTGGCCTTAGGATTGCGTCGCAGCTTTTTGCAGATGATGTGGTCCTGTTGGCTTCATCAGATCGTGATCTACAGCTTTCGCTGGAGCGGTTTGCAGCCGAATGCGACGCATCCGGGATGAAGATCAGTTCCTCCAAATCCGAGGCCATGGTCTTGAGCCAGAAAAGGGTAGAGTGCCCTCTCCGGGTCAGGGAGGAGGTCCTGCCCTCATCTATGGTCAAGAGCTTTGGGTTGTGACCGAAAGAATGAGATCTCGGATACAAGCGGCCGAAAAGAGTTTTCTCCGCAGGGTGTCTGGGCTCTCCCTTAGAGATAGGGTGAGAAGCTCGATCATGCGGGAGGGACTCAGAGTAGAGCCGCTGCTTCTCCACTTCGAGAGGAGCCAGTTGAGGTGGCTTGGGCATCTGGTTAGGATGCCTCCTGGACGCCTCCCTGGTGAGGTGTTCCGGACACGTCCCACCGGAAGGAGGCCCATAGGAAGACCCAGGACACGCCGGAGGGACTATGTTTCTCGGCTGGCCTGGGAACGCCTCGGGATTCCCCCGGAAGAGCTGGCCCAAGTGGCTGGGGAGAAGGAAGTCTGGGCCTCCCTACTTAAGCTGCTACCCCTGCGATCCGACCCCGGATAAGCGGAAGAAAATGGATGGATGGACAGACAAATATCGGCCGATACATATACCATGCTGATAATATTGTGCATCCCTAGTAAACATCAACAAAAATATCCAAATTTCTGGATTCATCCACCATTGTTCTCTTTTCTATTTATGGGCTGTGCACCAAGTTTTATACATATTTATACATACACTTTTAAATTATAAAATTAAAACACTAAGAGATTAAACATTTCACGTTTTCTGCAAATTCTGAACAGAAGTCAGGACGCATTTCTACTAGGGCTGAACAATTAAATTGCATTTGCAACATTCATTCAATCTTTATTTAGACAGGTTAATCCCACTGAGCCTCGAGGACTCAATTTACAAGAGAGACCTGATTTCAACAAAGAATGATGACAACAATGGACAATTATAAAAAGGCATAATTTTTTTTTCATAATAATATTGCTATATGATAAAACTAGATTTTCTAATTGCAAAGGCTGCAATTTGACTGGTCATGTGATGTGGTTATGTGACTTGCAAGTGAGCGGAGCAGAAGTCAACACTGCGTTTTAACCAGTTGCACAATGGGAGTCCGGCTCGACAGAAGCTGATACATCTGCAAGTTTGGTACCAAAGAGGAGCAGCACGTCCGTTGTTTGGAATTATTTGCAACCTGCCTTGTTGTTGTTGTTGCTACGTCTCAAGGTAACGTATATCTTTATCAACACTTAAAGCCATTTACAATAGTTGCATGGCTAGAATGCCAACGACCAGTGCTTTAACTTAAAGTAAGCAAAGTAGCAGCCGACAGGGAGCACTGACCGAACTGTTCAGTATTACTTCGTATGAACAGAATTTGAAACGGCACGCGGAAATAACTCGAGCAATAATGGAGTTCATAGCGAAAGACATGATGCCCATTAATATAGTGACCAAGCCTGGGTTTACGGCTTTGGTAAACACAGTGAATAAGCGGTACAGAATGCCCTCGCACACATTTTAGCCAAGTTGCTATCCCGGAGCTACACAAAAATGCAGATAGACTTGCAGCGGAGCTGAAAATTGAGTTTTTTGTAACTGAAACAGATCGATTCATTGCTTGTGCTCAATGAAAAATATATGACATTGAAAAATAATTGCATATTAAATTGTTATAGTGAGGTAAAAAAATTGCAATTAGAATATTTCCCAAAATCGTTCAGCCCCAATTTCTACTGTTCACTCAATATAAATGAGGCACAGCAATCACGTTCCTGTTAACCATGATTTTATTAGCAAGTTGTGTCCAACACACAATTTGTAGCCATAGAAACAGTAAGCTTGTCATTTAATCACCCCTCTTCCTATTACTAAGACCAACAAGTTTTCCAAACAAATAAAAGTGCTTGTAGGTCACGAAACCCAACAATCCTTGTTTTTTCGTTTTATTTGCGACTACACAGGAACTCCTCCTGCGTCGTTTCCTCAGGAGGCTAAAGTTCATAATTGCACTCCTCTCATTAGTATGCATCGCCCTAATGCGCTGAGTTGAAGAAGCAGAAGCAGTAATCACTTGTCTAAGACCCAGCTCAGTAATAAAAGGACCTCTGCATCAGTGACGCCAACATTGGTCTACAAAAATACAAAAGTGACTTTGTGGAACTGGAAAGTGTCGGTTTGTTAAAGAGAACTGTTTTTACAGAATCAAACTGCAGCTAATTACATTTTCCTGGTTGTATTTGTCACTTTGGCCAGTCTTAAACTGCTGTAGCGTTTTTAAACTAAATTTGCATAAATCTGTTGCACTGCAAGCCCCATCTCTGGCCATCAACTCTTCTCAGTGAAGGATAAAACACTACAAGTGTGCATCAATAATCTGGATTTATAGCTTTTAATTAAACTCTTATATTTAACAGCTTGCGAGATGATAGATGTGTTTACCGAACGAATTACGTTTAAAAATCTTTAAGTGATAAAAGATAAACTGGATGACAAGCATGTAAGGCAAATCCATCAAAAGAACCCCAAGTTTATTCAGAGAGAACAAAAGAAAGATATCTGTGGGGTTTTCATCAAGGCCAGAGGCGTCTCTGTGGATCATTTACAGACGGATGACTGTTCCATGATTCACTCTCGTGCCGTTGTCTCTTCCTGCGTCACATCTTTGGGCGGTCACTCGATGTCCATCAAAGTTTGACCTCCAATCGGTGCAGCCACGTCTGCTCAAACTAGTGTTGTTTCCTCCTGAAGGAGCATCCTGAGCAAAAAGGAAATCAAGTTTCGTTTAGCTTAAAATTAACGTCATCAGTAAGTTCTAAAACCATTTAGGGTTTGAGGAAAGTTTATACTGGGAACTGACTGGGAACTGGGGGTAATTTAAACCAAATGCATCATGTCCAAACAAAAACCATGTTTTGTCACAGGCAGGTGTCATTGGCAAAAAATTAGTTTATAACCAATTTAACTTGCAAATGATGCGCTGCAACAACTCTTACAGATTTTAAACAGGTTTTTTTTTTTTTTTTATAATCTTTTCTAAATTCTTGTACACAAAACTAAACAAAAACAATCACAGTATTTGATGTTTTGGTCTTTGTGTTCACACAAAAACTAAAAAAAAAAAAAAAAGTTGCAATCACAAAAGAAATACAGCAGTTACGATTTAAAAATTTATTCAGAGAAAATGTCTAAATTTAATTCACACAACTAAATTATTTACATGATCCAACAATGTTCAGTCAGGTCATCTGGATGGTTTCTTTTATTGCTGAGACGTTTCGTCCTTCATCCACAGGTCTTCTTCAGTCCGAGGAGCCACAAACAAACTGGAGTCCCACAAATATCACACTCCCATAGTGGGGAAAAAACCTGTTTGCTGGTGATGATGGTTTCTGGGGCCCGCCCTCTCCCCTGTCACCTCCTCTGAACGCAGCCATAGCAAAATGGCATTTAGTGTTTTGAATCATTTTGGCACGGCTGCCTTAGAGGAGTAGACAGGGGAGAGAGCGGGCCCCAGAAACCATCTGATCACCAGCAAACAGGGTTTTTTTCTCCCCACTATGAGAGTTGGTGTTTGTGGGACTCCAGTTTGTTTGTGGCTCCTCGGACTGAAGAAGACCTTTGGATGAAGGACGAAACGTCTCAGCAATAAAATAAACCATCCAGATGACCTGACTGAACATTGTTGGATTTGTACCTGGATTATTGAGCATGAACTTTTGTGTTTACATACTGGATTTTTTTTTTTTTTTTTGGCTTTGTCATTTTAGCTACATGAAAAAAAAAAAAAAAAAAAAAAGATTTTTGAATTTTTGAACAAAACTATTTACTAGGGCTGTTGTAAACGAATATTTTAGTAATCGGGGTCCTCGAATGATTCGAGGAATCATTTCAGCTCTACTATTTACAACTTTGAACAATTATTATTTTTTTGGGGACACGTTACCATTTCCATCCGTCCAAGGGACAGTTTGACAGAGTGATATCTTCTATATTTTTTATTCCAGGTTTATTTCTATAAATTCCTGTTTGGTGCCATAAATTCCCATGGAACATTTCCAACTTTAAAAGTTCCCAGAGATTTGCAACAATAGTAACATTTTAAAATGTAGACAAACAGATTTGGTGATGTGAAGCATCAGAACGGGTCAGTGCTGCAGGAGTGATGTCTGATGTGAAGAAAGCCGATAAATCAGCACTGAATGTCGTCATCTGCCTTTTCAAACTGAACCTCGCTCACACGTGTGCACTTCAAGTGCCAAAGGTTGCTGCTGCACCCATAAAGTGCACTGAAAGTTCTTGGTTACCCAGGAGGCAGAGCTCATATAGGAGGGGGTCTGGAAAAGCCAAACATTGACCTTAAAGCTCTGCACATCAATGACTATAAACATATTAGTTCTTCTGTGGACTTTTGAGTGCGGTAGTGATTTTTTGGCCACTTTTAATCAGCGTGAACTGATGTTTGGTCTATGTGAAACCATCAGTGCAGGTTAGTGATGGTGGTGCTCGCAGTCGATGTGTAGAAATGACTCAACGATGATGAATCTCTCACACGGGCACAAGAATCACCGTTTACTTTGATCGACTCGCACTTCGTAGAGATCATCATGAAAGGGCAACACAAAAGCAAACGTGTAGGAGTCAGCCAGCGGTGTGTTGCTCCAAACCAAAACAAATGGACAAAATGTTTTCTCATTGATCGTTCTGTTGAATTATTTTTTTTTTTACTTCAGGCCAGAATCTTCAAAAATTCATGTCACTCTGTGTCAAAAAACACCTTCTAGCTCCAATTCAAATTAATTTTGAAGTGTTAAAAACACAACATATCATTAAATTTATACCCGTAAACACAGAAGAGAGAACTTTTTCCCAACAACCTGTCACCTCTGACTCCATTGTTCCCGTCCGACTCCATTTCCATCCAGGGATTATTTTACTGACTCGATATCTTTGGTGTACAGAGATTGTCCAAAGTGTCCTCATCAATCCAATAATTCTCAGTCAGGTCATCTGGACCGTTTCTTTTTTATAGAGACGTTTCAACCTCTATCCGGAGGGCTTCATCAGTCAGAGGAGTTCCAGTAAACTGTTTCCCCACCAAGCAGTAAACTCTTTAAGTGGACCCACCAGTTTGCTGGAGCCAAGATGGTTTCTGGGGGCCGTCCTGTCCCTCGTCGACTCCTCCCAGGCAGACAGCCAAAGTGGTTCAAGGCAACAAGCTCTCCGGATAGAGGGTGAAACGTCTCTATAAAAAAGAAACTGTCCAGATGAACCTACAGAGAATTATTGGATTTGGTACCTGGATGATTGAGCATGAACTTTGTTGTACTCATCAATGTTTGAATGTAAACAAACGAGTCGTACTTGTTGGCAACAAAACCCGACTTCGCTGATTTCACTCATTTATTACAAATTATAGAGTCTCTAAGTAAGTAAGTAAGTTTTGGTAATTAATGATGCGGACACTACACACAACAAAAAATATTCAAATAAAAATAATTAGAAAGTCATCATAGCTTAAACATGTTTTGTATTTTCCGCCATACTTGTTGCACCGCCCTATAAGCCGCATCAGTCCAAATATGTCTAATAAAGTAGAAAAATCCATAAATACGTCGCTTCACCGTATAAATCGCATCTATTATGCGTCACCACTGACTTGTCACGTTTGTTTTGCGTCACCACTGACAACCGGGAAATATGGACCGAACCCGGGAATGTTGCCCGGTGTTGTGGCAAAAATCGATTGGCTGCGCGCACAGGAGGACTTTAAGAAGAATTTAACAAGATTAACACTTAAGAACATTTGTTTGTTTGCTTGAAATTCTAGTAAAGGTGTGTCTCAGTCTAACTTTTGCAGCAAAATGAAGCTGGTTTGACGGTTGCTCCACGCTGCGAGCAGAACAAAGGTGGGAGGCTATGGCAAGCTGACTGTGTCATTAATAGCTGGTGAAGATTCTCAGTCATCCAGGACATGGTAAATTCAAAAAAGTTCAAGACAAAAACAATAAAGTATAATAAATAAAGCCCAGTTGTTTTTGTCTTGAACTTTTTTGAATTTGTCATTATAGCCACTTTTACCTATTACATGACACAACAGCATGCCTTACAACTCGAGTGCCATCTAGCAGCTGAAAATGGTAGTGTTCCATTTTTTTCAACCAGAATGAATGAAAACGGTCATATCTCAGCCAAAAATTGACTTATAAATATGGGAGGGGAAAAATCCATAAATATGTTGCTTCGGCCTATAGGGCATGCAAATTATAAGCATTAAAAAAAATATATGGTATGATATATTCTGACTGTGTTGACGATGGTTTCTGTTTCCTACCACTTGTTTAGATCAACTACAACTCTCTTTGTAGCATGCATTTGTTAACATGTTGCTGCATGGCTGCAGAACAGAGCTGCTGGTCATCTCGTACCTTCTGTCAGGCGAGCCTTTCCTCCCGTCGGCTGACACAGAACTGTGGAACAGCCGACACACAGCACTACAGTCTGCGCGTGACTGAACACTGTGGTGATCTTGTAGCAACCTGCAAAACAAACGAGACATTAGGAGCGGGAAAGCCATCAGCTGTTTAATAGAAAACGTCCAGACAGAAGCTACAAATATCCGCTTGATATGTTTTTGCAGTAGTTTATGTAAATGATCAATTTATAATCTCATTTCACAGACAACCGCAAAAGTCAATGTGTGCCTCATTTGACACCCCGATCACCACAGAGCTGATGAACGGGCAACACATAGAGGCACCTGCACTGGTCAAATATATACAGCATCTCCTCCACCATTATCCAACTGACACCTCCCAAGAAAGGTCAGAGCATATACTGTAATAAATTAATAAACATCTGTATGAGTTAGCACATGACCAATTTACTGCTGCAGGGGGAGAGGCCAAAACCATCACCCTTTCTCCCACACTGTTGAATCTAAACTTTATAAGTGTATTTAATACAATGCTGCACCCAGATCATCATCATTAGATAAAGACACCGAATTTAACACATAAGAGAGTGTGCCACCTGTTTGAGTGTCTAACTCAATGTTTGTCATTTTAATTCCTGGAATTAACCAATATTACCACTAAGAGATGTTTATTGGTATGAACAAGGTTATAGCCACGATGGTCTCTGTGAAAGTGTCAGCTCCACATTTACACTCTACCTGAGATTATAGCACTGATAGGCCTGTCGCAATAAACAATAAATCAATTAATCGCATGATAAATGAAAATTATCGACCTCGTTTTCATTTATCGGCTTTATTGTTTCTTCTCCTTTTCTTCTCTCTTCGCTAAAAGCAGCTAAGCTGAGAAGCTAAGCTACGAGCTAAGCTAACAGGCCGACCTCTGTCTTGTCGAAGCTCCAAAATTCACGGTTGAAACCCGTGCCTTCATGTAAAAAGTTTTTCTTTGCAAAAAGAAGCTGAGAACTTGTTTAATGATTTTTTTATTTTTTATTAAAAGCTTTGTGTAATAAATGCTATGCTAGCTCAAACCACATGGAGCATCCGCCATTTTCAGAACCAAAAACAATGAAGAGACAGCCCATGTCACGTCAAAGGGCCTCCCTCCCATTTTTCTTAAAGATACACACCGCTCGCTCCCTCACTATCCATCCTTCGGTTCAGTCATACTGCCATCCGGTGGTCAAAAAAAGCACTACACGCAAAATAAATTAACCAACATTTCTTCTTAAATTTGATAATAATGAATAATTGTCAAATCTCAAACAATATCATCGTTTATCGCAATAATTTCCGAGCTAGTCGCTCAGCAAAATGTGTTATCGTGACAGGCCTAAGCACCGGGAACATAAACAAGGTTTACGCTTGTTTGCACGTGCTAAGCTGGATTATATTTTGGAACAATACTGTGATGAAACTGTGCTGGGACAAATGTAACCCAAATCATCAAATGTAAAAATAAATTGTATTAAAAAAAAAAAAGCAGCTGAAATTTTTAAACTATAATCTCTCTGAATGAGAGATCGATTTTAAGATAAATGTATCACTCAGGCAAATAACAAATGGCAATTTTAAGCTATTTTGTACCATGCAAGGACTACAGGCGCTATCATTTTCCTAATAGTGTGCTTTCAAATATATAAAGAAAACTATCCAAGAATAAATTCATACTTTCAGTGTCCAGTTTTAGTAGTTTTTAATAAATTATCGTATTTTAAGTAGAAAAAATAATCACATTATGAGGGTTAATGGTTGAAAATTAAAGACGTTCTTTTTGCTTTATGTACGTGGACATTAAAAACAGCACGACTGGTGAAAATACTAAGAAACTTGACATAAACAAGATAAAATCTGTCCTTCATTTGTCGTATTTGATCATTTATTGACTTACACCAAGTCAAAAATAAACCATTGGAAACAGTTCTTGAAGCCCAGATGAATACACTGCAAAATCATTCGTTATAAAACAATATTATTATTTTTGAAGTAATTTACGATTTGTGTTATTGCACTGATCCATATTTATTGCCCCCCTGTGACTTTTCTGAAACAATAATAAAGCCTCAGATTACAGTAATCTGCTCGTGTAAAACTGACCTGGACACTTCACGTCCATGAAATAGGAGTTAGGACTCTGAACGAGTCGTTTTTTCTTGTGTCTCCTCTTTTCCTCCTCCGGACTGGGGTTCAGCAGATCTTTTGCGAGCTGAACGGGAATTAAAAGTAAACAAAATCACAATAATTTAGCAAGAAAGCTGTGCAAAATCCATAAAAACACTGCGATTAAAAGTAATGGAAGGCGACATCTAATCTGCCACGGTTGTTGTTTACACTACACGATAAAGAGAAAGGCCTCGAACTGTGTCTGTTTGATAAAATCAAGACAACTACGGTTATTTTTTTGGAGTGAAAATTGTTTAATTAATAGTTTTAAAGTTAAAAAAAAAGCAGCAAAGCATGTAAAGCGACATTTTTATGTTGTAAATTAAAACATGCTAATAGAAGGTAAACGAGTGCGCTGAACAGCACTCAAACTAATGTCTTCTCATCTAAAATAAGTCGAGTTTACCCACTTTTAATCGTACATCAAGTACTTAACGCGCTGGTTGATTGCTCACGCGCTGTAAACTAACAGCAGCGCGTGGGCTCCGTTCCTCTGCACGTGCTTTCGCCATATTGTCTCCGTCCGCATTTCTGCCTCCACATTAAAAGTTCCCGCAGTTAGCTAACCAGTGCGTAAATAAAACACAAATATATCCCTTTAAGAGGTCGAAGCGTGAAGATAACGCACTCTTTGACGAATTCTAGCTGAACAGGAGGTAGTTTTCTACTCACGGGCATCTCTGCGTGTTTAGACTGCCAACGGAAAAAAACTCACGTCGGTGACGTCAAACCGGAAACTGCCTCTCTGAATGGGAGGAGACAAACTGTAAAAACTATTTTTACATGTTTAATAAAGTGATTATAAGGTTTTATAAACATGTTCTGTAGCATTTAATGTCCAAATATATGGAGACTTTTGTATCTCTGACTTCACAGGAAGTTACTTTAACTATGACATCATCGTTGTGTTTACCTCGTTTAATCTATTTTAATGTGCTTTTTAAACTTATTTTACGTCCAGCCGGTGACTGAACTTTTTATTATGTTTGTTAAGCCACTTAACTCTGACTTGTAATGATTTAAACTTTTTTTTTAAATTTTAAATCGTAAACTTAACCAAAAATGTTGACACAACAGGCATAGCAAAATCTTCCATTTTAAACAAAGTACAACCCACTAACAACTTAGTAACTTATACATGCATTAACAAACACACAATTTTTCCAATTTATTTATTTAACTAAAATATACAACAATCGACCTTTTTACAGCTCCTAATGCTCAAAACATAAATAAATTCTTTACCAGCATGGCTCTAATCCAACACCAGTTTGTCAGAGACAGAAAGGGTGGCGGCCTCTCTCTCAATCTGCACAAAATAGTCCCATTTATTTCCAGAAGATCTTTTACTATCCTCATAGGTTTCATTTGATTTTCTTTATCACTTTTCCATGAACAGTTTTAATAATTGATGTACTTTTTTTTTTTTTTTAACAGCCTCGGCCAGCAGCTCCTCAGCAGATGCTGCTCCCAGAGATCAGCTGACTGTAGATGTTACATAAACAAACATCCACATGTTCAATTTTTTGCAATGCATTGTGGTCTAAATATATTCATGCCTACTCTCATAAATCCCTAACCAGGATAATCGCTGTAAGAAAAAAGAAAAATCACTGTAATGCCACTTTAATTGGTGATATGTAATCTGTGCTGCTGGTTATCCATGCTGCTGATTATCTCGTGCTGCTGATCATCTTATGCTACTGTATTCATTCATACCTATCTGCTCACCACAGACTCATGTTCAGACTGCTGCTGTTACGCTGTAGTGATTTACATTATTAGTGTTAATGTATATCTTAGATCCTTATTTACTGTTTCTTTTTAAACTAGATATTTTGCTATTTTTGGGTGTAACTGGGACACTGTGTACATCATTTCATTCCATCTCATGTACCACGTGTGATGGTAATGACAATAACAGACAGCACTCTCGTTCAGAGCAGCCACAGAGAGTTGCCTGCTCTCTGCTCTGTCTCCATGTGTGCACAAAATAGTCCTGTTTCTTTCCAGGAGGTCTTTTATTGTCCCTGGAATGCATGAGTTTTCTACTCCAGTTTCCTCCCACAGACCAAAGACATGCATGTTAGGCTGATTGGTAACTCTAAATTAACTCTTAATTGGAAACTCTAGGTGTGAGTGCGAGTGATTGTTTGTCTCTATGTGTCCCTGTGATGGACTGGAGGTCCAAGGTGTCCCCCACCTCTCGCACAGTGACTGCTGGATATGAGCACCAGTGACCCCCTGATCCGGAAAGGAAAAAGCAGGTAAAGATATTGGATAAAAGGATGGATGGATCTTAAAATAAATAAAGTCCTTTATCTTATAACAATTTGATTGTGTTACTTTTCTACAGAATATGTTCCTGTTTTTAGTTTTCTATACCGCCTTATAATCTAGCTGTTTGTTCGCTACGTTTCCTTTTGATTGTCCTTTTGGTTGCCATTTTATTTTAACTTGTTAAAAAAAAAAAAATTGTATGCATCTTTTATGAATGTTTATTGTCGTCGTTGTTGTCCACTGTTGTCATCACTCTGTTAAAAAATTCAGGTCTCTCTTGTAAATGAGTCCTCGAGGCTGAGTGGGATTAACCTGTCTAAATAAAGGTTGAATGAATGTAAAGCATATATTTATGTTTTAGAATTCTGACTTTAATCTCGTAATTATTTTTGCACCGTGGCCCTACTCTCTTCTTAAATTTTCCCTTCTGATTGTCAGACTTTATCCGTCCCGGTTTTCTGATAATATGAATCAGGGTGAAATGGCGCCATCTGGTGTCTGAGCTGCGCAGCTGCAGCGCGGATCTGGTCACTCCCAGGCCAGAAATCAGCACTCCCACACTCTACGTAGCGTTTCTAGCCGAAGTGTGGGATTTTAGGGCCGACTGAGAGTTTATTTTTTTAATGTAAGCTGGAAAAACCCCGTAGCGACCCCCGGTAAGGGATCAAGACGCGCTTAGGGGCAGCGGGATGAACTTTCACTAGTTCGACTTGTTGATGGAGTTTATTTGTTTCTCCGGCGCAGCTCAAACACGGAGGCTCTGATCGGACTTTACCGGTGGACGAGGCAGGCTGAGGTGAGGGGATCTGGTACTGGAGGGAGCGGCTCGAACCATGGCGAAAAAGTACGATTTCCTCTTCAAGTTGCTGCTGATCGGGGACAGCGGAGTGGGCAAAACGTGCCTGATCATCCGCTTTGCTGAGGACAACTTCAACTCCACGTACATTTCCACCATCGGTGCGTTTTAAAGTGTTTCTGCAGGCAGCTGAGGTGTTTGCTGACATTTCAGGATCTGCTGTGCAAACAGGTTTCTCAGACAGCCTTCATGTCTCAACTAGTCCCTGCTGTCTTCTCTCATTTTTTTATTTCTCTTCCCCCCTCCTCTGTCATGTCTGCTTCAGATCCCCTCACTTGGCTCTTGAAGGTCCACCCATCTTCATTCCTATCTCCTTTTGCCATCTCTGTTTCCTGAAGACTGAATTACTGACATCATGCACAGTTTTGTGCAGGACTCTGTCAACTCTGAGAGAGACAGACAGAAAAGACAGTTAACTGTGCAGGAATGTGCTCTTTTCTGTCTGACCTATATTCTGCACAGTGAGGAGTTTTACTCGTTTTATCAGCTCATTCTTTGTCTCTTCTCTGCCCTTTCCTGTCTCCTCCTTATCTCCCAGGCATCGACTTCAAAGTAAAAACCATTGAAGTGGATGGGAAGAAAGTGAAACTACAAGTGTGGTGAGACACCTTCAGCTGGATCTTCTCTGATCACTCATTGTCTCTTTTGGCATCAAAACATGCTGCTCGACAAGGAATAACGTGCAATGTGTGTTTGGGGTTTTTTTTGTAACGGTTAGACCAAAATAGAAAAATACTTTAAGAAAATAATGGGTTTTTTTTGGAAAAACGTGAGAAAACCCAGCCCTGTTTGGAGCTCTGTAGCTGAGACCCACGTCACAGTAGAAACACTGTTCAGAGTTTAAACACGTCACAGAAAGTTGGACTTTACATGTCTGAACTGGCGTTTTGATATCTTTTATGGTTTTGACGCAGTCACAGTTTATGTTTTATGATTTTTGCTGATATGTGGGATGTTCATCTGATAGTTGACGATGTCGCTCCCTAACTTTTGCAAACTCTTTTCACTCCCGCAGCTTTTTTGTTGCACCATATATAAATCGTACATCAACATGCAGGGATGTTTGTCTTCGTCCACCCAGTGTGTCGCCTGCTGCTATAGAAATTTTCGTTGTCTCACTTTGTACAAAAATAGAGACTATGAAATACCCTCCGTCTGTCTGTGCTTGTTGTGAGCGCGATAACTTGTAAAATAAGTAAGGTACAGACTCCATTTTGATGTGTGGCTACATTTAGGCTTAAGGTGCTATCTGATTGTTTCTTGTCTTTTTATTTTCTAAGACTAGGGAACTTTCTTCTGGTGGTCAGAACATTGTCTTACGTGACAGCGTTTACTGTCCAGCTGTCCACGAGACATGTCCACAGCAGAGATCTGTCTTATCTGCTGGATGATTTGTTGAAGGAGCGTTAGAAGCACCATCTTGCATCCAGATAAACTTGTTGGGTTTTTTTTCTGAAGCAGACCTTCTATGTAACAAATGCACTGGCGTGTGTTTTCGACTTTGTTTAGGGACACGGCAGGACAGGAGAGGTTTAAGACCATCACGACCGCCTACTACAGAGGAGCTATGGTGAGCCCACAGCATGATCCGGCAGACACTGTCTCCTTCGACTTCTTTGACCGTTTTTGTCTCTCCTGTCTGCGTTTCAGGGCATCATCCTGGTGTACGACATCACCGATGAGAAGTCCTTCGAAAACATCCAAAACTGGATGAAGAGCATCAGGGAGGTGAGGCCATTTTTAATTTGGCCATTACAAAAATAAAAAATAAATCACTTTTCTCTGGGATGACAAATTAGATTTTTAAGGGTTAGACATGGTGAAACGTCTTAACTTTGATTTGTTTTATGATTTTTTTTGTTGTTGTTGTAAAATGTGTAGTTTCTGTTTTTACAGCTGTAAATTGATTACTCTTTAATATAAAGAAAAAACCTCCCACTAACATCACTGCGGTTATCATCGAGACATAGTTCCCCCTATTTACATTAACAATATGACTCACAACCTGGAAATACTTTCAACAAACTCGAGCATACAGGAGCTCTAGGGGTGATATTTCAATGCCACAAGCAGGAGTGGCACCTGGGGGTGGGTGCGGGGGACAATTACCATATTTTTCGGACTATAAGGTGCACCAGATTATAAGACGCAATATCAATGAACGGGTCTGTTTTCACACATGAGGCGCATTAAGTGAAACAAATCAGATAAGTCAAATTTTATTTAACTCACAGTAACGCTCAACAGTGTTGAACCACATAAAATTGGTTTGAGGTCAGTAAACACAACTAGAATTAATACATAAAGCCCACCAGATTATAAGCTCACTGTTGATTTTTGAGAACATTAAAGGATTTTAAATGTGCCTTATAGTCCGAAAAATACGGTATGCTTCAGGAGTAGCAAGTGCCACCCCATCCACTTCTCTTGCGCCGCCCCTGCTGGGTTTATTCTGCAGCTACAATTCATTTTGGGAGTGGTGGCGCAGAGGTTAGAGAGGTGGGCTTGTGATCCGAAGATCGCCGGTTCGCGCCCCGGCCCCGACAACATCAAAATTGTGGGTGGGGTAGGTGAAACACCCACACTTGCCCCCACCCTCATTCGCCCCACTCTGGGCCCATGAGCAAGGCCCTTAACCCCCACCATGTGCTCCCTAAACAGGTCTCTCTTGAAAATGAGTTCTCGTGGCTCAATGAGACTAACCTGGATAAATAAAGGCTAAATGAAAAAAAAAAAAAAAAAGGTAATATTTCACCTGTAAGGGGAATCACTGATCCACATCAGTACTGGCAAAGTCTGGAGGCAAACATTCCAACTTCTAACATAATCTAAGATAAGTATTATGTTTCTGTCTTTGCCATGTTTGAAATCTTAACAGAGCAGTTTATGAATTAAAGCAAACAATGTGACAGAACTGGAATAATCCTTAAAAGAGACTTCGCTGCAACGAAAAGTTATAAACAGTCTGCATGTAGAAATGTTCGCTACAAAAATTGTATCGCTATTACCTCCAGGTCGTACTTAAGTTGCAAAATTATTAAAATATATATTTTTGTAACAGAAAATGGCTGTATTTTTCTGTCTTAATGCTAATAAAAAAGGCTAAGCTGTAGTTGTTCTGAACACAGTGCCAACATTTAACACCTTCCAAACTAATTTTTATAAGAATTTTTTTGAGTGTCAGCTCCTAATTTAAAATGTGGTTCTGTGGAAATATATTAAAGAAAATTAACAAATAGTACTCGGTAGATAGCTCTTTGAACACCTCAGTTTGGAGAAACTGGGTTAAATTTAGTTTGGATTGACGAGCTAACGCTAGTCCAAGCAGGGTGGAGACAAAGTACGTTAATGCCATCTTTCAACTCCTCAAACATAAAAAAAGAATGGTAAAGGTTTGTGCTAACACTATTTATAAACTTTACCATTGTTGTTAGTTTTGAATTAAGCAGATATTTATAAAAAAATTCCTGTTTCTTTGCTAAAACAAATAGTGGCAGCTAGCTAGGAGCTAGCTTTAGCACTCCTGGTGCAGAAACATAGAATTTCTGCTGGGAAAATAATCCATCCATCATCTTCCGCTTATTCCGAAGTCGGGTCACGGAGGCAGCAGCTTGAACAGGGAGGCCCATACATCTCTTTCCACATCCACCTCTTCCAGCTCTTCTGGGGGGACCCCAAGGCGTTCCCAGGCCAACCGAAAGACTTAGTCTCTCCAGTGTGTCCTGGGTCTTCCCCGGTGTCTCTTCCCAGTCGGACATGCCCGAAGCACCTCCCTAGGGAGGCGCCCAGGGAGCACCCTTACCAAATGCCCGAACCACCTCATCTGGCTTCTCTCAATGTGGAGGAGTAACGGTTCTACTCTGAGTCTCTACCGGATAACTGAACTTGTCACCCTATCTCTAAGGAGAGTCCAGCTACCCTGTGGAGGCAACTTATTTCAACTGCCTGTATCTGTGATCTCATTCTTTCGGTCACTACCCAGAGCTCATGACCCATAGGTGAGGGTAGGAACATAGACCAACCGGTAAACAAAGAGCTTTGCCTTACAGTTCAGCTTTCTCTTCACCACAACGGACCAGTACAGAGTCTGCAATACTGCAGACGCTGCACCAATCTGTCTGTCACTCTCACGCTCCATTCTTGACTCACTCGTGAACAAACCCCAAGATAATTAAACTCCTCCACTTGAGGCAGAACCTCACCCTCGACCTGAAGAGAGCAATCCACTCTTTTCCAGTTGAGGACCATGGCCTCAGATTTGGGGATGCTGATTCTCATCCCAGCCACTTCACACTCGGCTGTGAACCACTCCAGTGAGAGCTGAAGATCACGGCACGATGACACCAACAGGACCACATCATCTGCAAAAAGCAGAGATGGAATCCTGAGGCCACTGAACCAAAAACCCTTCGCCCACTGGCTGCACCGAGAAATTCTGTCCATAAAAGTTATGAACAGAATCAGTGACAACGGGCAGCCCTGTCAGAATCCAACTCCCACCCTGAAGGAATCCAACTTACTGCCGGCAATGTGAACCAAACTCTTGCACCGCTTGTACAGAATAGGGACTGAACAACCCATAATAACGGGCCCCCAATCCCATACTCACGGAGCACCCCCCATAGTGTACCCCAAGGAACATGGTCAAATGCCTTCTCCAAGTCCACAAAACACATGTAGACTGGATGGGCAAACTCCCATGACCCCTCGAGGACCCTAGTGAGAGTAAAGAGCTGAGCCAGTGTTCCACGGTCAGGACGGAACCCACATTGTTCCTCTTGGATCTGAGGTTTGACCAACGATCGGACTCGCTTCTCCAGTACTCCTGAATAGACCTTACCAGGGAGGCTAAGGAGAGTGATGCCCCTATAATTGGAGCACACCCTCTGGTTCCCCTTTTTGAAGAAGGGAACCACCACCCCAGTCTCCCAATCCAATGGCACTGCCCCTGATGTCCATGCGATGTTGCAAAGGTGTGTCAACCAAGACAGCCCCACAACATCCAGAGCCTTAAGGAAATTAGGGTGAATCTCATCCACTCACGGAGCCCTGCCGCCTTGAAGTTTTTTAACTACCTCGGTGACCTCAGCCACAGTTATGGACGGATCAACCCCAAAGTCCCTCGACTCAGCTTCCTCCATGGAAGATGTGCTGGTGGGATTGAGAGGGTCTGAGAATTATTCCCTCCACCTCTTGACGACAACACTGGTTGAGGTCAACAGCACCCCACCTTCACTGAACAGTGTTAGCTGCTTTCTCCTCCTCAGCCACATGATGGTTTGCCAGAATCTCCTCGGAGCCAACCGAGAGTCGTTATCCAGGGTCTCGCCAAACTCCTCCCACATCTGAGCTTTAGCCTCAGCAACAGCTAAGGCTGCGGACCGCTTGACCCTTCAGTACTCCTCAGCTGCCTCCAGAGTCCCACTGGCCAACAAGGTCCGATAGGACTCCTTCTTCAGCTTGACAGCCTCCCTAACCCAGGGTGTCCACCACCGAGTTCATGGATGGCCACCACGAGAAGCACCGACAACCTTGTGGCCACAGCTCAAGGCAGCTACCTCAACAAGCTCTGCGCGGAACATGGCCCACTCACACTCAATGTCCCCCACCTCAGCTGGGATGTGGTTAAAGCTCTCCCAGAGGTGTGAGTTGAAGATCTCTCTAACGGGTTCTTCTGTGAGGCGTTTCCAGCAAACCCTCACTACACGTTTCGGTCTACCGGGTCTGTCCGGCATCTTCCCCCACCATCTGATCCAGCTCACTACCCGGTGGTGATCAGCTGACAGCTCAGCTCCTCTCTTCACCCGAGTGTCCAAAACAAACAACCGCAAATCAGATGACATGACTACAAAGTCAATCATCGATCTACGACCTAGGGCGTCCTGGTGCCAAGTGCACTTATGGACACCCTTATGTTCGAACATGGTGTTTGTGATGGACAAACTATGACTAGCACAGAAGTCTAACAACAGAACACTGCTCAGGTTCAGATCAGAGAGGCCGTTCCTCCCAATCACGCCCCTCCAGGTCACACTGTCATTATCCACATGGGCATTGAAGTCCCCCAGCAGAATAAAGGAGTCCCCAGCTGGCGCACCTTCCAGCACCCCTGCTAAAGACTCCAAGAAAGCCGGATACCCTGAACTGCCATTTGGCATGTAGGCACAAACAACAGTCAAAGCCCGTCCCCACACCCGAAGGCGAAGGGAAGCCACCTTCTCATCTATTGAGGAAAACTCCAACACACAGGCACCAAGTTGGGGGCTAAAAGTAGACCCACACCAGCTCGACGCCGCTCATCATGGGCAACTCCAGAATGGAATACGGTCCAGCCCCTCTCAAGGTGATCGGTTCCAGAGCCCATGCAGTGCGTCGAGGTGAGCCCGACTATATCTAGTCAGTACCTCTCAACCTCGTGCACAAGCTCAGGCTCCTTCTCCTCCAGAGAGGTCATGTGCCATGTCCTGTAAAAATCGTGTAATATAAAATTGAATGGCAATGTAGGAGTTTATAAAATAACATTTACATGAACCACAATGAGATTTTTGAGGTTGAAGGTATTTTAAGACAACAGCAGTGCACTTTGGTCTCAGCTTCACTCAAACCAGCTGTTAGTGGCTCATCTGCTCGGAATGAAACTCATCATTTTGGCTGTTTAGTTCAGTCAGGTTGATGAGAAAAATATCTTATTTACAACTGAACTGTTGCATTCAATAATCTACACCTCCTATTTCCCAGAATGCATCAGCCGGGGTCAGCCAGATGCTCTTAGGGAATAAGTGCGACATTGAGGCGAAGCGGAAGGTTTCCAAGGAAACAGGAGAAAAGGTGAGATGATCCAGACCAACGTAGATCAAACTTTATTACTTTATTTCACTTTAAAGCAGCACCAAAACAACAAACATCTTTCAGGGAGTTTTCGCTTGGATGCAAAAAGAGTCGAGTAGTGACGTGAAGCTTTTTTTTTTTTTTTAATGAGGAAGGAAGGAAGTATTTATGAATGGGACTGAGAAAGTTTCAGCTTCTTATTTGCTTTAGATAAGAACCAGGATGTGAGTGTTTGCCGTGTTGTAACCAGCCGCTCCGGGTTTGTTGTCGACAGCTGGCGAAGGATCACGGCATCAGATTCTTCGAGACCAGCGCCAAATCCAGCATCAACGTGGAGGAGGTAAGCCGTGACGGAGCTGCTGACACGCTGTTGTTGTGTTGTGTACCAAACACAGCAAAGGTTAACCCCTTATCTTTTCTTCTTTTGTGTTTTTATTCTCTGTCCTGTAGTCGTTTCAGTCTCTGGCGCAGGAGATCCTACAGAAGTCCATGAGGAAGCCGGTACGTCGTTTGGCGACGCACATGTCCCTTTACAAACAAAAACCTTTTTAACGCCTTTGTCCGATTGTCCTTGTTCTACAGAACCTGACGGGAAAGGAGGTGAAAATCACCAGCAGCACAGAGAAAAAGTCCTCCAGGTGTGCCATTCTTTAGGTCTGACTCCTGTGAGATACTGGAGGAAAACAAAAATAAAACACAGGAAGAAAATGTTTTCTGCCTCCATCTGGTGGGTCAACGTGTTCAACACATGCACATGCACATGCTCAGAGTCGGCTTTTATACCAAAACTCTACTTTCTTTTTACAAGTTTGGAGCGTCTACAAGAATTAAGATGCACCCAGATTAATTTATTTCTTTGCCATTGTACACGCGCCAAACTGAGCACTGTTTTTTAAAATCGTTTCCATTACAAATAAAACCACCAACGTGCCCTGAAAGTGTTTCAGAAACTTGCTCCCCGCCTTGTTTCTGTTTCCGCTCTTGTTTTTTGTTTTTCCAACTTTTAATCACGTTCACAATCCCACACTCCATCTTTAAATAGCCACGTCTTTTTACATTGTGTTACTATTCCTTGTGCCTTTTATCAGATGCATAGTTTGATGTAAAAAGGACTTTACTGGCGTATTCAGAACATACAGGAGGCTGATTTTGTAATCCCTTTTTTGTTTTTCCATTTATAGGCTGCCGTCTCAGATAGTTTAAATGTTACAGGAAGTCACTAAAATTAAAATATAATTGATTAGGGATGTATTTTTAATTCATGGAGTTGTTTCATTGTTATAAATCCTCTGCACATTTGGGCTCCACGACTTATGTGCTTTCTAAATACATTTTAGTGACCCATAGCCGTCGGATCCAGCAGAATCTATAGGAAGATGTGTTTACGGCACAAAGGTGTTTCGTTCAGTGTGAAAGTCTCACAAAATGCTCTCAGTTTTAAGGAATGAAACAAACTCTTAAGTCTCGGTGGAATCTGATAGAAAGTTTGAAGAGAACGAGCCTCGTTTTAATCGACGGACTGATCAAGAAGGTGAAGGATTGAGAAGTGAAGTTAGTGCAGCGCAAGAGATGAGTGGAGCGATGGAAGAAGGAAGGAGTAGAAGGGATGTATGAGCCAGTGCACGCACACACACACACACACACACACACACACACAGTCTGAAATGCTTAAACAGACGCCAGGCTTGAGTTGTTCTGGTCAAATGATTGAACATGTTTCATATTTCAGGTGTTAATTTCGTCCTAGATACTTTGTTTTCTGCACACAGACGGTTTTGTCTTTTAATTTTTTTTTTGTTTATTTCTTTAACGTGTTTTTTTTTTATTCTACAGCAGCCAAAAAACATTTTGTAAGTACTGAACTTTAAAGACTGTATGCTTAATAAATATACTTTAATGACAATAAAAAGTTTCTTGCTGTAACTTTTACTCGACTTTGGCCCAATGTCTTCACTAAACCTGGCCATCTTGTACAAAATAACAACTTCTTTTTTTTTTTGAGGCGCAGTTGCCCCTTCTGCCGCCTTTAATTCAAAATTACCCACAGAGCCTCGGTCTTAACACCAAGGCCTCATTTTGACCCAAGGGCAGCAGGAAGGTTAGATAAAACAAGCTCTCCACAATACAAAAATGCTTTGAAAAAAGCTGCAATGTACCAAGTTTACAAAGAATGATTGAATTTTAATGAACATTAATAATAATTAAAACTCTTAATAAACTGCTGTTTGGTTAAAATAGTGTACTTTTCAGGTTAAATCGAGTTTCAGCTTATGATGAAGACAAACTCAAAGTCTGACTGGATTGTGTCTTCATCCTGGTCTCTATTAGGGATTTATGAATTAATGATTTATAAACAGATAAAGTCTAAAGCAGGGGTCTGCAACCTTGACATTCAAAGCCATTTCTGCCTCTTCGCTCACTAAATAAAATGTGTCTAGATGCACAAAACCTGCTACACTTGTGATTATCAACTGGTGGTTCATGGGCCACTTCAAGTGTATTGAAGGGGACTTTTATGGCCAATATACAGCAGTCCCTCATTTATCGAGGGGGTCCGTACCCTGAAGCCCTGCGATAAGTGAAAAACTGCAAAGTAGAAAGTAGTAGTTTATTTTAGTGTTTATGTATATGTACGTAATATAAAATTGTAACTGTCTAATAATTAACATTCTCTTATCACACTTTTGTCTGAATTACTCAAGATTATTTAAAGCAACCTGATACACATAGGCACAATCAAAGTGTTGCATACAATTTTCATCACCCCTGCTTTAAAGTCAAAGTCACAAATCAAGGTCAAATGATATACAAGGTCTTTGCTTGTCTGGGCCATTGATTGTTGTATTTCTGTATAGAAGTTTTGTCGGCAGGCATATGCTGTATTCTGGTTTAATGAAACGCATGTCAAAACAAGCTTTGTCTGCATAAACGCTCATATTTCCTGCATGCAGGTAACTCACTGACAGACGTTTCTTGTTAAAAAGTCTAAATGATGAAGAATACAGGTCAACATTGAGAACACAGATTAGAAATGACGCCACATAAATCTGGCAGGAAACCAGTCTTTATTCTTTTAATCTGACGCAGTGAAGCAGCTCGTTCATGGTCATTTTAGTGTGACTAATTGTGCTGAGTCAGCGTTCACACGTGTGTTTACATATTTGTTGGTCTGTAAAAACTTCAACATGCTTTCAATTAATTCAGACGTGAATGTTCGGCTAGTTCAGGGCCTTAGAGCCACGTCTTTTGGTTTTTGTAACCTATATACTTTTCAAATTCTTTTCTAAGTTTATCAACATTTTAATTCTCATAAAAATGGATTAAGATCCCTTCAAGTCCTTGAAAACTTTGTGAGGAACCTTTGACATCTTTATCATATCATTTTAGCGGGGAGTGGTAGCAGAGGTTAGAGAAGGTGGGCCTGTAATCGGAAGGTCGCCAGTTCAACTCCCCCAAACTGACAACATCAAAATGTGGGTGGGAAAGTTAAAACACCCACACCTGCCTCCACTCTCATTTGCTCCACTCTGGGCCCTTGAGCAAGGCCCTCAACCCACACCATCTGCTCCCCCGGGGCACCCTAGATGTTAGCTAGAATGCTAGAAAACGCCTTGTATCTGTGACTTTCCTTCCCTCAATTGATTATGGTGACATTATTTACATGAACGCTCCTACAAGAACCCTGCAGATGTTGGATGCTGTCTATCATGGTGCACTAAGATTCATAACTGGCTGTGATTATCGTACCCACCACTGCACCCTGTATTCATTGGTTAACTGGACATCATTAACTTCACGCAGACTCTCTCACTGGTACATTTTCATCTTTAAATCACTTCTTGGTCTGCTGCCTTCATACATCTCCTCCTACATGTCTCTGCGTGAGTGCAGCTATGGAGTGCGCTCTCAGGACATTATTACCTGCAGTGTTCCCTCAGTGAGGACTGAACTAGGCAAAAGGGCCTTCTCCTACTCTGCTCCTGTTTCCTGGAATATCTTACAAAAAGATTTGAAGCTCTCGACCTCGACCTCTCTAAGTGTCTTTAAGAATCTGTTGGACTCCTGGCAGGGACCAATGCAGACATGTTCCTGTTTTTAGTTTTATACATTTGTCTTGGAATCTAGCTGTTTTTTGTTTTGTTACCTTTTTCCTTTTAGCCATCCTATTTGTTAAAAAAAAAAAAAAAAAAACTGTAGTATGAGTTTTTATAACTGTTTATTGTTGTTGTCCATTTTTGTCATCTTTCTTTGTTGAAATCAGGTCTCTCTTGTAAATGAGTCCTCGAGGCTCAATGGGATTTACCTGTATAAATAAAGGTTGATTGATTGATTGATAGCTCTCTGCTCTACACAGAAGGCTGTGGTATCTCAGTGGTTTGTGGTTGTGTCAGGAAGGACATCCGGCATAAAAAACAACAACAACAACAACAAAACAACTGCCAAATATTTGTGTGAGTTCGCTGTGGCGACCCCTGAACAAAGGAGCAGCTGAAAGACGGAAAAAAGTTCTTTCATTTTATTTTTAAATTTTTGTTTTGCTCCTTTAAGATCTTGGCAACTGGTCTTTTACTTCCTGTTCTGCTGATTTAAGAAACTAGTTAGCAATTTTTAGCTTCTGTTCTCTTTTTAGCTTTGAGCTACTGTTTTGCTATTTTTTTTTACTTTTAGCTATTATATTACTAGTTTCATAGCTTTTGCTATTTTTAGTTTTTAGCGACAGTTTTACTGGTTGTAGCTTTTAGCTACTGTTTTGCTAGTTTTAGGTAATAATTAATAATCTGTTGGTTTTAACTACCGGTACTTTTTTTCTTTTTTTCTTGCTCAGATGTTTTGAGCTTTCTGTAATTTTAGCTTTTAGGTACTGTTCTGGTAGTTTTAGATTTTAGATATTGTACAAATTTTAGCTTAGCATTTCTTAATTTCTGCTCCTAATTGCAGTTTTGTTGTTTTTCTTTGTTTGTAGAAATTTTTTGTTTGCTTGTTTTTTTTTTTTTTGTTCTTGTTTTAGCTTTTAGCTATTGTTCTGCTGATTTCAGCCTTTAGCTACTGTTCGGTTGCTTAATGGGAAAGCTAAATGACACATTTTGGTACTTCGCTGTTTTTAATAGTTTCTCACACCTTTGTTGCTAAGTTAGCTCACAATAATTCTGGTTCTTTAAAGGAAGACATGTGAAGAAGTGAAACAATCATAAAGCAAGTGCTGGAAAGCCTGGAGATGTAGCTTGATTGTGTTTAAGTCAGACTTTGGAGACAGTGTTGGACCCTGAACTACCCTCAGGTTGAATTTATGAGCTCTAAAGACAGAGCTGTTTGTTGTTCCCCTCTCTGCTGCCCGATTCTTTTTTTTTTTTTTTGCTGCAGCAGAAACCAGAGTCTGTCACTAGGCAACCACTCCTCCTCCCCAGCATCAGTACCAGATATTGTGAGCGCGCACGAACTGCCGCATCTCCGAGTTGCCTCGCACGTTCCCTGCGTGCGTTGTCATCACGCAAGGCAGGTTTAAAGGCCACGGATGATTTTTTTTCCTAATGGGAGGCAGGGAGATACACGGCTGCGCACTCAGACACACACGAACACACGGGCTGAACGAGATGCCCGCGTGACTGCAGGGAGGAAAGAAGTGGAGGAGGAAGAGGAAGAAGAGGGGGGAGTCTAGGTGCCGTGAGGTGGAGTTGTCAAAGATATTTTAAAAAACACGAGGAGATACTCCATCCAGGACACGCAGCTGTTTTTTTTTTTTTTATGCACTTTGAGAATCGATGAAAGGATTTTCTTTTTCATCTCCTGTTCATCACCTGGTCCTGGGTCTTCTCTTGGACGGAGTGATGTTCTAGCCGGGTTCGGAGCTCCGGTTCTCCCTGACAGGATGGCTGTAGAATAAGGTCACAGGAGGGGGTGGGGGGTATGGAGTGCACATGTTCGGACGTGGTTTTGTCGTTACTTAAAGGGAAGTGACCTCTGCAGGGAGGGGGGTGAAAACAGCCAGCGATCAGCTGCTGTCTTTGGGATGTTTTTTTTTTTATATCTGCGGCCTTGCTCGGGTCTCCAGTTACCGCAATGCCACACAGCCGAGAGGAGGCAGAGATGGGGGGAGACAGCGGAGAGGAGGCTGCTACAAAGGGAGGAAAGCAGTGAGGTGAGGATTTAAACAACCTGACAAGAACAAACCCAGTCCAGTTTGTGAGCTTGTGTTTGGATGGGACTGAACGGCACAAAGTGTACTTTCTGAGCTCCAGGGGTGTGCGGGCTGCTCAGGGTGATGGGGACTCTACTGACTCAAACCACTTCAGCATCACGGCTGAAATGTCAGATGGGGTGAGCTCTGTAGCGGCTGCTCGACTCTCAGCTTTCTGCTGACGAAGTTTTTGGACTCTGGCAGGACTGGACTGTTGGTGCGGCGTCACGATGGGACATGATTGTGCAGGAACTATTGCACCGGCCAGCGGAGAGTTTGGTGCAGGATTTTAACAGAGCTGAGCTCCAAATTCCCTCCTCTGCCGCTTCTCTGCCCACACAACTTGATTTAAGCGAAGAACATTTCCCAGCCGCCTCCTCCTCCTTATCATCATCATCATCATACACATAAAAAACATGCCTTCACCTTCAGACTCCAGCAGCGTAGCCTCAGCCTCTGGGTCTCGGGGTTGGTCCGACAGCCGTAGAGGCATGTCAGGTCGGGGGCCCGGTGGAGCCCGTCTGCTCCTCTACCTGGGTCTGTGCCACCTGGGCCTGGGAGCTATGGTCCTGGGTTTCTCCTTCACAAGCATGGCCTTCACCTCCTCTGCTCGCGTCAGACAGTCCTGTCCATTCTGGGCCGGCTTCTTTGTAAGTTTGACTGAAAAATGATCGGAGTCCAATTTTGAGAAAGCTTCAGATGTGCTTTAAGATGTGCTTTTGTGTTTGCAGGTGGTGGCATCAGGGATAGTTGGGATAATCTCGTGGAGAAGACCTTTGACGCTGGTGGTAGGCTGAGCTTTACAGCTGAATTCAGATGCTAGCTGTAAAGGTTTCTGCATGTCTTCATATATATAGTGCAAGCTCATGTTTAAATAAAGTCTTACTGAGCAAACTACTATATGAATTATTTACTGCCACTTACAGGCATCGGTCGTGATAAATCTGAGCGCTCGTTGCTTTTTCTGACACTTTCACTGATTATTTTCTTCAGTAATTATGTTCTCCTTCTGTGTCCTTCTCTGTCTCCTGCTCGCCTCGCCAGTTTTTAATATCCGGCTCTAAATCAGGCGTCATCTCCCAATTGTCCCCACAGGTGTCCCTGTTCATGCTGCTGTCTGCGGTGTGTGTGATCCTCAGCCTGGCCGGCTCAATGCTCTCCTGTCAGAATGCACAGATGGTCAAGTCTATGCTCACCTGCCAGGTACGCCAGAGCGTCGTCCTTTTTACCCCGGTGCCGACACGTCCTTCTTGTTCCAGACGCCCGGAGACGACGTGCCAGGAATAGTTTGGAAAGTGTTTAAGTGTGCAGATAAGTGCTTGGTGTTAATTCACTCTATGTGTGTGTATAGATGGAGAACGGTCTGTGTGTGTGTTGTGCACCCACTCACCCCTGCTCCATTGAAGCAGAGGATACACTGGTCCTGTACCTGAATGCTGACTGCCACTCGGTCAGACATCAGCTAAAAGTAGGTGGAATGAGTCTTTTCTGCCACAAATAAAATGACAAAAATAAAAATATGAGCTGCTAGGTTGAGATTCTTTGTGACTGCTTCATTCTTCGCAGGATCTTTTGTTCAGCGCTTGTGGTCTCAGCATCCTCTCCACCATCATTTGTACGCTGTCCACTGTGACTTGCAGTATTCACATATTCTCCCTGGACCTTGTGCACCTGGTGAGCTCAGAGCACTTCATGCCAAAGTGATTGGCCTTTTTTTAAAAGATGCAAGTACGCTGCTGATCAGCGGCAGAGCTACAGTGAGAGATTAGGATATATTGTACTGTAAACCACACCTAATTTTCTATTTTTCGCTTCGAATGTGCCACACTGTCAAGTACCCATTAGAAAAAGTTTTGGTCAACAGTTCTTCAGGCTTTCTAAAGATTTTTCAAAGTTTTTCTTAAGACTTTGGCTGCTTTGTTGCTAATTTTCTGTCTTTCTTGTCCTTTTACCAAACCACAGCAGAATATTTAAAATAAAAAAAAATGTTGGACAAAAACAAGAAAACAGACCAGACTCAGAGCCTGAAAGATACATCGTCCTTCACGATTATCCATTTTATGTCAAGCTTTAGTTAAAAGCTCTTTTGGAAATTAGCTTGTTGCTAAAATATTATTTTATGTTTCTTACACAATATTCTTTGGATATTTTATTATGGTTAGCTACATAAATAAATAAACAAATAAATCTGAGAACAAAGAGTGTTTTGGTGACAGAATGCTAGCAAGTAACTAGCTAGCAATTGCTAGCATGTTGCTAGTTCCTGTTTATCCTCTTAACCTTAGTTTATTTGTTAAGTTGTCTGTTATGACACAATAATGGTTCATACTTTGAGTTTAGGAGGATTTTGATGTCTGAAGGGCCAGTTAGTGACTTGACAACGTTTTTTTTCTCAAAACGTTCAAGAACTAAACAGAAAATGAGTGAAAAATCAGCCAAAGTCTAGAGAGAATTTTGAAAGCATTATTATTATTATTTTTTTATTAGGCATGGTTTCAGATTTTAGTGTATTAATGCATGCAAGTGTGTCAAACTTATTTACCATTTGTGGCCAGTAAAACCTGTTCCAAACCACGGGCCAGTCCTGACAACTTTTCTTGGTTGCAGGTTCATCAACAAGAGTTTGATGGGTCTTATTTGATGTTCTCTCTTGCTCTTTCCACATCAAGTACCAAAGATTATGGAAAATGTCAACCTTTCAGACTATCTTGACGTCGAAGTTAGCCAGCGGTCATGAGAAATCTGCACTAAATGAAGTATTTATCAGGTTTTTAAGCTAAATAAGAAAATAATATTTTGCATTTAAAATATCTTAGGGGGCCATATAAGACCTTAACAAGGGCCAGATTGGGCCTGCGAGCCTTGAGTTTGACACGTATTGTACAGATTTAATGCAAACCAACCTTATTTTTGTCTCCTGTGTTACATATAGTTGGCGCCACATCGCTCTCGGTCCGTCAACCCAGAATGCACCACTCCTCAGGATGCCTTCCTGACCAACATCATGGACTTTGAAGAGTTTGTCCCCCCCATCCCTCCACCGCCCTACTATCCTCCTGAATACACCTGCAGCTCCGAGACAGACGCTCAGAGGTACCAAACAGACTCTTGATGTGTGCTGAGTTAATTTGGATACTTCATGTAAATCCCATCACCTCTAAACTAAAAATATAGCCAGTTATAGAATGACTAACATGCTTGTATCAACACCCAGCATCACCTATAACGGCTCGATGGAGAGCCCTGTTCCTTTATACCCCACTGACTGCCCCCCTCCTTACGAAGCTGTGATGGGCCAAAGAGCTGTCAGCCAGGTGAGCAACCGTGCTACAGCATCCTAATGTTCAGCCTCGGCTAGCATCTGTCTTTGCTTCGAAAAGCTAAGGAAAACATTATTTGATTCTTAAAATGCTCAGTTTGTGTTATATATTTTATCCTCCTGCTGCCCTTGGGTCAAAATGACTCTGAGGTCCTAGCATTTAAATTGACACCTTAGGGGTCAAGGGCAGCAGGAGGATTGTTTCTCAGTAGAACAATGCAGGTGGTTTGAGTTGACTTTCTAATCTAAAAATACAAGAAACAAAACAAAACAACTGTTCTCTTGTTTTGTTGGGTCTCAGTTCTCAACCACTTTATTTTCCTGCTCGCCACCAAGTGGGGGCCAGTGTGGGCAATGGCCACCCCTAAAAAATGTGTGCCCCCCCATTGGCCCCACTTGACCAGACTGTTTTAACCTCCTGAGTCCCAAGCTTTGGATTGGCGTACATTTTTAATTTCTCCTACATAATTGGGATAAGTAGAACCTCATAAACATAAAATCAAACATTGTTTTGAGCAATTAGGAGTCAAAAATATGAATTTATATTTAGTTTAAAATTAAAAATAAAACTTTAAATTTAGTTTCCTGAATAAGGACGGTTTAAAACTAATGTCATCAATATTAGGATGCAGGGTCTCTGGAGGTAATATGCATAATATATATATATGTATATATATATATATATATATATATATATATATATATATATATATATATATATTTAGGAGAGGATAAGGTTTAATAAGTTTAGTAGTGACAGTGCTTTTAGTACGTAAATAAAATAATCATAAAAAAATAGACCTGTGTATATCAGAAGGTGATTTCATATTGTCAAATAACCTACAACATGACAAGTCATCTAAAACTTTGGTAAAATAAATGAATAAATAAATACAATTCCATGTGGCCTTAAACTTCTTGGTACGCCCAAAGTTTTAAAATCGCTCTCATTGTTTTCACACAAAATAGGACTGTGCTGTACATAAACAACAAGCCATAAGTTAATTAAAATGTTGAAAATGATTTCTTGATAAGTGTTTAAGAGATCAGTTCATTTAAATCTTCACAATAATAGAAAGTCTAACCTGAACTTGCTCCACTCTTGTATTTCACTCTGCAGTATATGTGTTGTGAGTATTAGTCGTTAAACTTGTCTCTTGTGACCATTAAGGCCACAGTGTTTGACACCCACGGTTCTGAGCTGTCTGGAGAGAGAGGAACTTCTACTGCCTTCAGTGGAGAAGGTAAAATCAGTTTCATTCTGTTATAGTGACATCTAGTGGCATAATCTGTAAATTGCAACCTAATCGTTATTTAATCGGGATACACTTTGTGTGTTCTGTCCCTTGTCTACTTCAGTGATGAAAGTCACGGGGGAAAATCTTAAGTACATTGCAGAGTGTTGGATTTGTTTTAACATGACTGAGGTGCAAAAAAGATGAAATAATAATTAATGTTATATTGCATTTACTCCAATGGCTAGCGCCAAATCAAATGGTTTTCACTTTAACTAATGTTTTCCTATGTAACAATGAAACGCTGTTTTTATTAGTCTCCATGGACTGTGGGTCTCTGTTGATGTCAGAGATCGTGGACATCCCAGATGATTCGTCTCCGTCCGAGGACTCCTGTTTGTTAGAGGTTGGGCTGAGGAACCAGGGGGAACGGAGCAGCAGAACCACTACTGACAGGGGGGACCTAAGCTTTCGTGGTTCTTTGACTCAAACACCAGAGAGCCCCCTAGCAGGAGGACCGAGAGCCAGGAGGTTCCTTCGAGGAGAACGGTCCAACTCCTGTTCTTCACCGAGCACAGCCACCAACACGTACAGGTGTGTAGAACAACACGGTAACACTGTAATGTAATGACATTCTGTTAGCAAATGATTCTGGCCAGTTTGTGATACTTGTACTCCTTGACCTTACTGCTGCTTTTGATACTGTTCACCACAGTATCCTTATATCAAGGTTAGAACGGTTGGGATTACTGGTGCGGCATCCAGGTCTCTCTTGTAAATGAGTCCTCGTGGCTCAGTGGGTCTAACCTGTTTAAATAAAGGTTGAATGAATTAGAATGGTTCTGTTAGTACCTAAGTGACAGGAGTTTCTGTGTTAAAGTTGGAAATAGTGTATCCGTGTCAGTGCCTCTTTTCCTATGGAGTCCCACAGGGCTCGATTCTTGGATCCGTTTTATTTTCACTCTACTTTTTGTGTTTATTTTTTATGCTTTTAATTACATCTGGCTATTTTTATTTACTGCCTTGATCTTGTTGTTAAGCACTTTGGTGACAGCTGCTGTTTTGAATGTGCTTTATAAATAAATTTGACTTGACACTGTAAGGTGATGTCATTATAATCGACAACCAGATGTGGTAACATTTGAAATACATCTATTTTTTGTTGTTCAGGTCTCCAGTGCTGCATCGCCAGGCGATGCTAACTAGTAGCTGCTCTCAGCTAGAAGCAATAGGGAGATCCACTAATCAACAGGGCTCTTCCATCCCTGAGATTCAAGTTGACCCTTCCACCCCTCTAAACCAAGGAGCCATCCTGGCCTCCTCTAATCCTCCATTTTCATGTTCCTCTGCTGCTGGCGAGCACGGAAATGGACCATCCCTCCCACATCAGCCCTCCTACCTCCGCCGACGAGCTGAGAGAAGCATAAAAGATGGAGGGAATGTGAGACGACAGAGCGAGGGCTTTTTACGTCTCCTGAGGTCGCACAGTGAGCCAGGTCTTGGCTCCTCTACAGACACAGGTGAGTCAGCATGAATATGTCTCTCAGGGAGAAGCAGTTCCATCCAAGTGGTTCCAGTACTAGTTCAGAGCCTTCCCTCCCCCTAAAGCATCAGCTTCAACCCTAAAAAAACTGATGCTACAGTAATAAGTTTCTGCTGGGTCAGAGCAAAGTTCTGCTTATATTGGAAGTTAAAGTATGGAGGCCAACAAACTACTGGCGTAAGCGTTTACTTCAGTTCCTGTAGGATTTGTAAACTGGACTGGGGATATTAGCAGTTTTTAGGAAAATGAGATGAGCACTAAGATGTGTTCATAAACCGTTTCTCTCTACAAAAATTCAAAATATGGCAGCTGGAGGATCAAACGGGAAGAGATGGGAAGTAGCGTGTTTCTGCGGTGTGGTGGGGGTGTGTGTTTGTGGACAATCAAACCAGCTCTTAGCCAGAACCAATTTGGAACTGGCTCTGGACCAGCACTGGAAGCGCTTTAGTCAAAAATAGGAGCATTACATCAGTTTTAGTGATTAGAAACAGTTTTTCCCTCCTATATTCCAGTGAATATTGGCTCCGGATGCAGCAAGGCATCTACAGATACAGGTAAGAGCTTGCTTCTAACATTTTTATGTCTAATCTGCAAAATGGTTGAAAATAAAAACAGGCAAAAATGGTTTCAGTGTCATCATCTGCTCAGTCCTGCATTAAAAAAAAAGTCTAACTTGAAGGAAGTAAAAGCACAAAAGAGGACATGTCCAACGTGTGTCACTCATATGTTTTAACAGTCTGCAGAACCAACTCATGAAGCTGTTTCACATCTTCATCGTTGTGATAGATGAGTGTTAAAACTCTCATCTTTTATGTTTAAAACGGCAAAGTGATGGGTTGTGCAGACATTTCTATGGTCACTAAACTTGTTGCCCAAAAATAAATTAAGTTCTCATCTGGATGAGGATCAACACCTCCTAATCTGAAGCAGTTTAATCAACCACAACTCGTGTTGAAACATTTGTGAAAGAACTGTCACATTGTTTCTGTCTTGTTTTGAATGATCTGCTCAGTATTTTGGATTAATACACCTTCTTATAAGCACTGGTCAAATGCCATAAATTATTTAGTTCCACTGGACTGTATCACCAGCAAATCAACTCTTTACTTTGTGTACGATGCTGTTTTACTGCCTTCACATGTTTTATATCTTAATCTACAATAACTTAGTCAGATGTCTCAAGTCTGAAGGGCACCCAAGTAGTCCCCTGTTAATAATTAAGTACTAACACAGTAATATTAAAGTTTTTATGCATACAGGTATAATCCATGTGCTCATATATTTTTGCTGTAATTAAAGTAAACGAGTTAGAATTTACAAAAGGTTGATGGATAATTTACAGTAAAAAGGGGGAATTCTGTGTAAGCTCTATTTTAGGTCACAAATTCCACAAAAAAAGTGATGAATTTTATGTATTTATTTTATTTTATTTATGATGGTTAGGGCTTGTGTTTACTCTGGGTCAGAGGTGTCCAAACCTTTTCTTATGTGAGCCAAAACTGTCAAGATGAAAGTACTCACAACTAGCCACAAAAACTTAAATTTCAGATAATTAAACAAAACGCTTGTCGGGTTTTTTCTCTCCATTTTTTTTTTCTCGGCAACAATGTGAGTAATATTTTGGAAAAAGAACAAAAGTTGACAAATTTTGGTGGAGAAGGAGCTCTAAATTGTTGTAGCCTCATAAACACTGACCTTATTTATTTATTGATTTATTTATTTAGTTAGTTAGTTAGTTAGTAAAGGATTTAATTTAATTGACCTGAAAAAGAAGAAGTGGGTAAAGATAATGGATGGATGGATGGATGGATGGATGGATGGATGGATGGATGGATGGATGGATGGATGGATTGATGGATGAATTGATGGATGAATTGATGGGCAGCACGGTGGCACATTTGGTAGAGCTGCTGCCTCTCAGCGAGAAGGTTGACGGTTCAATTCCTGGTCCAGGGGCCTTTCTGGGTGGAGTTTGCATGTTCTCTCCGTGCATGTGTGGGTTTTCTTCGGGTACTCCGGTTTCCTCCCACAGACCAAAAACATGCATGTTAGGCTGATTGGTAACTCTAAATTGTCTCTAGATGTGAGTGAGAGAGTGAATGGTTGTTTGTCTTGTTTGTTTCTATGTGTCCCTGTGATGGACTGGAGACCTGTCCAGGGTGTACCCCGCCCCTCGCACAGTGATTGCTGGACATGGGCACCGGCGACCCCCATGACCCAAAATGGAAGAAGCGGGTAAAAGATAATGGATGGATGTGTTGGATGGATGGATGAATGGATGGATGTATGGGTGAATAGATGGTTGGAAGGATGGATGGCTGGATGAATGAATGGATGAGTGAATGGATGGTTGGATGGATGGATGAATGGATGAATTTGTTGGGTCTATTGTTTTATTTTGTGTTCTTGGAAAGTTTATTTCCGTCTGTTCTTCTCAGAAACACAAATGTTCCTAAGACGTGGGCTGGTCACTGTTTTGGATCATGGATGGCCCAGAAAGGTTCTGTGAATATTGAAACATACCATTTTTAAACTGCAGTCGTTGGATTCATAAAATCACTCCAAGGGCCACAAATGGCCCTCAGGCCACACTTTGGACACCCCTGATCTTTATGAAAAGGGTTGGCTGGTTTGATGTGCATTAAAGCAACACACACTTTCATAATTCCTCATCGTTCTCCTGTGGTTCATTTCAGTCTTTTAACCTAACAAACCCAAACTTCTGTCTTGTTCTCTGTCTCACAGCTCCGTCCTCAGAGGCGTGTTTGTTGCCTCCAGTGTCTCTGCCTCCCGCCGCAGCTCTGCCCGTTAAAGGCAGCATGAAGTTAGCAGCTACAGGGGTGCAGGTCCCCACCAAACCTGCCCCCACCTCCCCGCTACGTTTACCCAAAGACTGCCACCGGTCTTTAGGAGACCTCAAGGTAAACTGATACATAAAAGATAAAAGGAGACATCCTCGAGCCTGTGCCATCGTCTCAACCTGATCTTGTTTCTATCCCTTTAGGTGACTCGGGGTCTGGTGGCTCGCTTCCTGCACCGTTCCAAACGTAACCTGGGGCCGTCTTCAGAACACGTTGGGGGCTCAGGGCAGGGGCCAAAGAGGAGGAATGGAGCTGAGACTGCTCTCCCCGATCACCTGCCCTCCGAGCAGGTACCACCAAGACAGGATTAAGGAAGGTTCTATCAATGGGTTTCTGAACACATACAAATAAAAATGCTGATTATGTGCATGTTACATGTGAACGTACATTAACTTCAAGGCTTCTAGTCACATGAAGCTGCGCTTAGCTTTAATGTAAAATCTACAGTCCGAAGCTTGAAAAACCTTCAGACTTACCATCTGAAACAATGAGTCTGTCGCAATTTACCTCTTTTTTATTTCTGCTGCACAAAACAAAAGCAGATCTGGACTTTTCTCTCGTTAAACTAAAATAAATAAAGTACATCTGTTTCATGGACTAAATCATTTTAAGGTGCTGTGGCAAAAAGAGAGAAAAGGTCCCGATACGGAACATCAGCAACTTTTTATAAAGAAGTACGAGAAATTTAACCTGAAACAGGGCTATTCAACTAAACTGCTCAGGGGGGCACAGTTACTGAAAGCCAAGAGCTCGGGGGCGGGGCATCCAGCAGTTACTGTCGTTAGGTAAAGTTGTTTTATACGACGGAGCTTTAAGGCCACGCTAAGAAAAAAAATCATTAAAGGTCATAAAATTACGAGAATAAAGTTGAATAAAGTCTTAATATTACGAGAATAAAGTCATACAAGACTTTTTTATTTTTTTTGCAGCTCTCGTTTATTTTTTTTTCCACGAGTCGGATCCATGACGCGACCTGTCAATCAATCCAGTAAGCGTGTCAACAAATGACCAATCTGAAGCTAAATGCTCCTTACCTGCAGAGAGCTGCTGCAGCACATCAGAGCTACCACCTTGTTAGATATTTATCTAGACTGGTCCTGGGGTTTCTGATCTGCTCAGAGATGGGATTATAATAAAATCATGACCCGGTTCTGACCAGGTTAAACTGAGCCAGCAACTCTAAAAGAGTCTCCCTGGGATTCAATATCCGTCAAGGAATAGAATTTATTTCTGCTTGCTACTTCACGTAGAAAGGCTTTTGAAGCACCAGCTCATTTTTCATTACACGTCAAATCATGTAAGATCCATTGAGATCACACTTGGTCACGCCTCCTCATACATGTGACAGGTTGAGCTTCCCTTCTGCGAAGGGGGAGTCTAGGCCCTATAAATGAGTAATGACACGGGACATCTGCACTTCCGGTTTGTGATCGCGTCATAGACCGGAGAGACCAGCGCTGTAAACTGTAACCTTTTCCTGCCTTGATTTTAATACAATTGGTAAAACTGAATTCATGTTTCCTTGATTTATTGTTAGTGTGAGTTGCCGCTTCTGAGGGAGGTTCGAGCCGGGGGGAGCGACGTGAGCTGGAGGCGGGTCCTGAGTCTGAGAGGAGGCCTGAGGCCCACGGCTAGCAACAGCTAGCTGCAGTCACCGGTGACCCGCAGCCAGCTCCCGTCGTAACAACCTCAGAGTTCTGATACTGATAATCATCTGATGCTGATGTGCTAACAGATTAACCATCTCCTTATTTGTAAAACCAATACCAAAGTATAATTTAAAATGCTAAACATTCTTCATTTTACCACAGTCAAAATGTGGTAAACCTGCTTTATGGTGTCGGAGTTTGTTTAATATTACGACTCATTTAGCTTCAGATTGGTCATTTGCTGACACGCCTACTGGATTGATTGACAGGTCGCGTCATGGATCCGACTCGTGGAAAACAACAACAACAAAAAAACAAGATTTGCAACCAAAAAAAAAGTCTCGTACGACTTTATTCTCGTAAATGTATGGCTGTTAATTTTTTTTTCCCTTAGCGTGGCCCTAAAGCTCCGTCGTAGTTTTACGATTTAAAATCTAGTTTTATTTAAAATGAACCCATTGGTGGGCCGAAATGAGTTCATCTGTGGGTCTGATTTGGCCCCCGGGCCACCAGTTGAATAACCCTGTCCTAATGTTTTTAGATTATTAGTTACAACCAGTTCTGCTCTAAAGATCGTTCTATAAACTGACAGACCTGACCTGATTTTGTGAACAGAAATTGGGAGTTTTCTAATAAAGTTCACATCTAAATATATCATTTGTTGACCGGACCTCAAGATTAACATGAAATGACAGAATAAATACATAAAAACACTGCAGCAGTCTTCTACAAGCAAACCATTTACAAGCCATTGTGGCTCAAAAGTTCACAAACTAAAGTCACTTAGTAAAAAATACTATACTGTACTGACTTTAAAACTAAAATAATCCAAAGTAACTTAATTAAAAACACACCAAAACCCATTAAACAGTTGGTAAGGGAACCAGACGTTAACTAAATAAAACTTTTTTCCAGCTTGCACATCCTTAAAAATAAGCAAAATATCATTTTTGAAAAACATTTATTTATTTAAACAAATAATAATAATACTATTTTGGGGCCCTTTAAACCTCGGGTAAGACATTCGGAAAGTCTGGCTTTGAGTATGACCACAAACTTCTGCACCACGTTCTTCTGCCTCTGTTCGATCTTCATCTTCGTCGTTTTATCTCCAGATGTTGCGGGCCCCTTGGAGCACCAGCCGAGGACACCCCACCCACCACCATCACCCTCGTCCCCGCGGACACCACCATTCCCACAGCGACAGCCGACACAACCGGCATCACGGCAGCCGGGTGCTGGAGGGGATCCACCTGCGCAGCTGCGGAGATTTAAGCTCCTCCTCCTCGCTGTGTCAGCTGGTGACGGCCCACCACGGCTCGTCTGGAGCGCTCCATTCAGAGTCTGCACTGTGAGGAGGAGACGGGGGCGAGGAAGGATGGAGTTAACGAGATAAGATGTTAAAAGTCTTCGCCTCTCTTCTGTTCTCTGCGCCCCCTCCATTTGTCAGCTGTGCAAATGGCCTTAATGGTGCTCCTACTCAGACCTCCCTCACAATTCAGCAAAACAAAGACAGTCCACCTCAGAGACAATAACCATTTACACGTGCATTCAAACTACCGCACAACTACGGATTGCAATCTGCGTTTGGTTCTTGTTTTAGTTGCCGTTCACCCCCCAGTGGAGGTGAGGTGGTCACAGAAATCCTTATTTTGTCTTCCATTGATAAATACCGTCGACACACAGACGGTTCAGGACGAGACGAACTGATGAGGCTGCACGTGAGGACGACCTTTACTGGATTTGTTGTGGGGTTTTGTTTAAATCTTCACCTACATGACGGCTGTCACAAAACGAGGCAGCCCCCCCCCCCCCCCCCCAACACCCACACCACAGACCACATTTTGAAATGAACCTCACTGAGCGCTCCCTGGACACGGCGGCTCGATCTGAGCGTGTGCATGTTTTGCTGCAGCTGCGATGCAGCAGGAACCTCGTGCATTTGACTCTGCCTGTCTGTGTAACTAAATATGTTCTTCGAATGTATTTATCTGCATGTTTGCTTCTTTCTTTTTTACTTTTTTGCGCACAGGATCTGTTGAGAGTAACCACTTGATTTGAAGGCAAAGGTCAAAGGTGACGTGTTCTGCCCGGCGGCTCCATTTGCTTCCGTGTCCCATATTGTAAAGGAATGTCTGAAAATTTGGCTAAAACGGTCGTATCGTCGTAAAATATTGGATTATTCATCGAGAATCTCTTGCAAACCAACGTACCAGCTGATTTGTTAGGCTTCACTCTGCGTTTGAGCCGTCCTTTTTTTTTTGGATTTGCAGCAAATGTTGCAGAATGAAAAAGTGAAAAACGGTCATTTGGCACCTTTGGAAACTGTCTCACAGTAGATTAGCATATTTATACGAGACTGGGTTTTTAAAATTCGATTGCTCCCTGGTAATACCGTTACCAGTAGAGGCACATTTTGAAAATGTACAGAACTAAATATGAAGATTTACACACATACAAGCACATAGAAAAGCACTCACACACTCCCAACACAAATTTTGTCTGAGCGTTGTTTCTACCTCCCGTCTTGCATTAAATATGATTTATTTAAAGAAATTATATCTGTACGGCAGTCTCAACGGGACAAACCTGCATAATAAATCTAAATATGGCTCTTATTCCTGATTTTAAATGCAGTGTTGATAGCAAAACCTTCGATGCAAGTTGTGTATTTCAACATATGAAATAAATAACACAAATGAAAAAATAAATAACAGTTGGGTTTTTTTTGTAAATGTTCTGCACAGTGTGTTGTCCTTCTGAAATGTAATGTGAAGATGATCGTTTAAGGCCACGTGTCAAACTGCAGCTGAGCCTTTGCACAGTTTAATTTAATGAGTGGATTCTTCAGATGAACATTTGAAACAGGCCCCGGTCAGTTTTTATGTAAAATCCATAAGTAAAATATATACCTACAAGGTTACAAATTTAGAGGAACTCTTTATTGAAGTTATACAATTAATAAAACCCATAGGCTATAACACACAAACAAAACAGCTGAATATATATTTTTATTACTTTCAGCAGCTGCTTCAGCTCGTTGTAACACACTGTTTTTAAGAAAGAATGCTCTTCTGTGCATTCGTATATATTTCTAAGTTTACACGTTTTTAATTATTGTTAAATATGTGTTTATTTAATTTGACAGTTATGTTATATTTTTGTTAAATGAAAAATACATAGTCCTAAAATTAAGAAAAGGCGTGATATTTGAGCCACTGGCTGTCCTGATTTCTAAAGGTCATTATTGGCCGTAGAGAAATCTGCATCTGTTGACTTCTAAATGTAGCATGCTCACTTCTTTGAAAAATGGCTTGTTGTTCAAACCCAAAAAATATTAAACCAATAAAAATGAAAAAAGAAATGTAAATTTAGCTGTTCTACTCATTTGAATCTCAGGTCACCAAAACAGAGGAAGTTTTTTGGGGGTAACATTGTTTCCCTCATTCCATCAGCAGTGATGATGGGTAAAATCGTCTTGTACGCCAACCTATGAGCACAAAGATTTACACTGGACTTGTTTTTATTTTCTCAGCTGACACAATCCAGACTAACTACACAGACTCACTGAATTAAAGACGTCCACCTGTCAATCAAAACATTGTTTCTGAAGAACAGAAGCGGTTGTGTACGGAGACAAAAATACCAAAATTGGGCCCAAATACTTATTTGACCTTCTTGTATATACTTTTATTTATGTTTATAACTGTGTTTTAATATATTTATGCTTGTCAAAATTGTTCATGTATTAAAACTACACAGTAGCCTAATTTAGTATAAAACTAAATAAATAAAGGTTTAACATGAATGCAACAGAGACGCAAACTATATGATCGATGTTTTGAAGATTTTGAAATCCTTAAAAGTTCTATCTCCAGGACAAACTTTCACAACCAGCTAGTATCAATATAGTGTGGCAAGTTAGTAGCCAAGGACATGAGGGCTGGCACAATGAAAAAATAAGGAATTTAATCACTAAATAATAAGAAAGAAAGAAAAAGAAAAACACAGACAGGTCAGCAAAACAAGATGAAAACTAAGCACCCAACATGCAGAAGAACAAACAGTTTAACAGACTGACGGTGAGGACGAAACCAGTAGGATAAGTTCTAGGTGAGGTGATGAACGAGTGGATGCAGCTGGGCTGATTGGTAAATTAGACATGTGAGTAATGAGATGATTGACGGAGGGAATGTAAGGGTGAATGACAGAGAAATCAAATCAACAACAACAACAAAAAACACAAGAAACATCATGACTAAACAAACTGAATCTACAGGAACACGACAAAATGTATACCTGGATCATGCATGACAGCCAACAGCCTTTGTTGTCATCGAGGTCAGATTCTTTACACTTTTCCACCAGCAACTTCTACTTCCAGCATTTCTTACACAGACATCCCATCATGGAACAATGAGGTTTCATCCAGAGCATGAAACACTGAACAAGTTCTTTACCCTGACTTGGGTCTTTGAGGGGAATGGGAGTTTGACTAACTGGTCAACGTGTTTTATTGACTGGAGAAGTTATTTAAGCATGTTCCATGAGGTACACTGTAGGGATGCTCCATGAGTATTGGATTGGGGGTTTGTTGCTAAGGACCAATGAGACTTAAAGATTCAAGGTTCTTTATTGTCATTCACATTGCATGTGGTACATTAGGTGGAACTAAACTGTGTACACAGGGTCCCAGTTACATCCAATATACAAGCGGTGCAAGAGTTTTGATTGTAATGTCAGCAGTAAGTCGGACCCCTTCAGGGTGGGAGTTGGACTCCACCAGAGCTACCCTTTGTCACTGATTATTTTCGTAACTTTTACGGACAGAATTTTGTGGTGCAACCGGGGGTAGAAAAACCTGCCACTAGGGAGCACAAGCCATGTATCTCTTGTGCCGGTCCCAAACCCGGGTAAATGTTGAGGGTTGTGTCAGGAAGGGCATCTGATATAAAACACTTTTGCCAAAACTATAATGCGAGTTCATCAAAGTGAAACCATACTGGATCGGTTGAGACCTGGGATACCAATGACCACCACTGGTGCTGTTGACAAATAGGTTGCCGGCAGAAATTGTGCTACTGTTAGAAGACCAAGAGGAGGGAAATGTGTCAGGAGACGGAGAGTGAAGAGGGAAATCAAGAATGTATGACTGAGGGTAGCAACTCTAAATGTGGGGAAAGCCAAAGAGAAGATATATGGATGCAGTTAGAGAGGACATGGAGGTAGTTGTAGTGAGGACAGAGGAAGCAAAGGACAGAGTGAGATGGAGGAGGATGAGTCACTGTGGTGACCCCTGAAGAGGGAAAAGCTGAAAGAAGAAGAAGAAGCCAGGGGGTAGAAGGGATCCAGTTCAATTACCTCATTTCGTCTCTGCTATTTGCCGATGATGTAGTCCTGTTGGCGTCTTTGTCTTGTGATTGCTAGTGTTCATTGAGGTGTTTCAAAGTTGAGTGTGAAGCAGCTGGGATGAGGATCAACACCTCCAACTTTGAGGTCATGGTCTTCAGTTGACAAAGGGTGGACTGCCCAGTCCATGATGGGAGTGACGTGCTGCCTTCAGTGGAGAGTTCAAATCAGGGTTTTGTTCATGAGTGAGGGAAGAATGGAGCAGGACATCAACAATTGGATCAGTGCAGCCTCTACTTTATTGTATATTCTGTACTGGTCCTTTGTGATGAATGGGAAGCTGAGCTGTAGAGTGAAGTTCTCTGTTTACCATACTTCTTTCATTTATCTTTTTTTTTTTGCTTTCTGATTAGTGGAAAGTCAAAATCTGAGTAGTGAACAAAAGAACAAGATTATGAGTACATGAGATTTCTCTTCAGGGTAGCTGAACTCTCCCTTAGAGATCGGTGAGAAGTTCAGTTATCTGGGAGAGACTCTCCGAGTAGAGTCGCTGCTCCTCCTCATTGAGAGGAGTCAGTTGAGGTGGTCAGAGCGACTGGTAAGGATGCCCCCTGGAAGCCTCCAAAGTGAGGTTAGAGGGGCACATCCAACTGGGTGGAGATCTCGGTGTAGATTCAGGACACTGGAGAGACTATGTCTCTCAATTGGTCTGGAAACGCCTTAGAATCCTCCCAGAAGAGCTGGCTGAGGAAAGAGATGTCTGAGCATCTCTGCTCAAACTGCTGTTCCTTGACCAGACTAGGGACAAGCAGAAGATAATGGATGGACAAATGGACAGATGGGTGTCCCATCCTTCCACAGACAGCATGAAAGGTTTATTGGGTTTATTTAAAGTACACTAATGATTTAATCAAGCTAAGATACAGCAAGACCTTTGTGCAGTCAATACTGTTACAAGATAAGTCCAAAGAAAGTTTTGGTCTGCACAATAACAAAATAGCAGCCATCTGAAGTATATTTATCTTGATAGACAGCCAAAAGACAATTAAGGCCAGGGACAAAAACGTGCAGCACAAAGTTTATAGTAAATGATTTCAAAGTAACTTTAATAACCTATTTTTTCTTTTTATTGTTTTTTGTTTCACTTGTAGGAGTGATCTCAATATAGATCCCAGTCAGATAAAAATATAGAAAATAAACTATTTTATAAATTAATAGTGTAAAAACTGTAAAAGAACCAGCGTCTTTAAAGCTTTTTGAAACATTATTTTACTTTTCCCTTTCTTTCTTTTTTGAGTTAGCATGAGGGGAGTGATAATGAGAAAAGCATACCTTAAATTAAATTTTGGTAGGTCAGTAGTTTCTCCGTTAAATTATTTGGGGGCTTTTCCTCAACATTTATATAATAATCACGTTTCTATATGATAGAATTAGAAATAAGATGAAGCCAACTGAAACCATTTGATTCAGTCTTTTTTAATGTACCATTACCCGGCCATTGGTTCGTTTCTCCTGATCCGACCACTCCACTTAAGCTCCGCCACTTCTCAAATCTTATTGGTTAACTGAACGGCGAGCTCATCCTGGTTCGATGCAAGCAGCCAATGAAAACGCTTGATGTCAAATAGAACCTTTTTTGTTACCACGCCTACTCGCAAAGAACCATGGGACATTTAGTTCATGAGGTTCGGGATAAAAACCACTGCATCGAAGTAATGAACTACAACTCGTACATCCTGGTTTCAAGTAGCGTTTAAAGACCTCCGGTTGTCGGAGAGAATAATAAAAAGGATTAAACTTGATTTGTTCATTTACATCGTGCGTTTTGGGATAAGACAGCACAGTCATTATGGTATGTAAAAACTTATAAATTACACAAAAAACATTTAGATTGGTTACGTCGTAACTAGCTTGCTAACGTGCTGGGGGCAGAGAAACTGTTTATGCTAACTCTCCGCTAACGCTTCACATCATAGCTAAGGAAGTTGCGGCAGGTTTTCGCCCTGAAACAAGAACCTCATGTTTTTCTTAACCGGAACGTGCGTCTATGATAATGTGGTTTCCGTAACTAATTAGTTAACTTTTTAAGTCGTGGCAGTTTGAGCTGCGTTGGGCGAGAATGAAGCGCGTGCTGTTAAGCTGCGCCTTTGATGCTCCTAAAGTGTTACGAAGCAGTTCACGGCTGGACGTGTCCCCGTTCAAACGGGCTTTTCATCGGTGTGCCCCGTCTCTCCAGGGAGACGGCGTCTGCAACGGGACTCATAGCAAAAAGGCGCTGCTGTCAGACCCTCAGCTGTTCGACTCGCAGTTTGCTGAGCTGCTGACGGAGCTAACGGAGAGGGACTTCACTGATCCTGGTCTGACTGACGCCTTCCACAGGCTGAGAGAGGTGTGTGTGTGCTCTGTCCTTCAGGTTGTTGTGTGACACGTGCAACAGTTTTAATGAGTGTTTGATTTCAGGTAATGGTGTATAATGTCCCCGGAGGGAAGAGGAACCGAGGGTTGTCTGTGATTGGCTCACTCCGGGAGCTCCTTCCACCATCCCAGCTCACCCAGGACACTGTGCAGCGAGCTCTGGTGGTCGGCTGGTGCATCGAGATGGTAAGGATTAGTAAATGGGTGTTGCACAAATACTCATACAACTCATCTCTTTTAAACTTCTGACCTCTTCAGGGGTCGCCACACTTTAGTCTCACTCTGTCCTCTGTCCTCACTCCAATACTTCCATGTCCTCTCTAACTGCATCCATATATCTCCTCTTTGTCTTTTTTCTGGCAGCTGCATTTCTAACATCCTTCTACCAGTATACCCACTGTCCCTGCTCTGGACATGTCCAAACCATCTCAGTCTGGTCTCTCTAACTTTATCTCCCAGTTGTTCAAACTGTGCTGTACCTCTGATGATCTCAATCCTAATCTTATCCATCCTTGTCACTCCTAAGGAGAACCTCAACATCTTCATTTCTGCCACTTCCAGTTCTTTCTCCTGTCTTTTTGTCAATGCCACTGTTTCCAAACCATAGCTGGTCTCACCACTGTCTTGTGAACTTTTCCTTTGACCTTTGCTGACACACTTTTGTCACAAATCACTCCTGAAACTTTTCTCCATCCACTCCATCCTACCTGGACTCTTCTTCTTCACCTCTTTACCACACTCCCCATTTTCCTGGACAGTGGACCTCAAGTACTTGAGGTCCTGCACCTTTGTGACCTCTGCTCCTTGTAGCCTCACTGTTCCACCGGCCTCCCTCTCATTCACACACATGTACTCTGTCTTACTACGGCTGACTTTCATTCCTTTTTTTTTACTCCTATTTTTTGTTTACTTATTGTGGAAAGTCAAAGTGAGTACAAATATTGCTTGAATTTAATCAGAAACTAACAATTAGTTGTTGTTTTTTTTATTGCATTGATTTAAATTAAAGCTGGCCTGGATGATTCACAAATTAATCAAGAATTTGTAAGATTTTTTTTTTCCTTTTTGCTGGAAGCTAAACGGCATGCAATTCCAGAGTAAATGTAAGTTGGGGAACATTTTCAAGTCATCAGTAATCTAAAATATTGCCAGTACACTTTTGGAACGAGACTCAAATAAATGACAGATTCTGGGGAGAAATCACAGAAAATAAATGTTATTACTATAACGTATTAGAAAACTTCTAAAGGTAGTTTTTGGTGTGGTAAATCCTGAGTAGGTGATTGAAGGATGCTTCTTTTACCTTGTTAGTGAGCAGAAAATGATTTAGCAAAAAGGTTCTGAATGGGGTTCAGGTCTAAACTACTTGGCCAATCAATAAGTGAAAATATCTCAAGCTCCCTGAGCCACTCTTTCACAGATGGAGCCCGATGGATGCTGGCATTGGCATCTTGGAACACACCTGTGCCCTCAGGGAAAAGATCAATTCATTGATGGAATATCCAGGTCGTTCAGTATATTCAGGTAGTCAGCTGACCTCATTCTTTGGGCACATAATGTGGCTGAACCTAGACCAGATCAACTGCAGCAACCCCAGATCATAGACTGACCCCACAGGCTGTACGGTGAGCACTAGGCAGGATGGATGCATCACTTCTGCCCCCCTGTTCTTATCCTGATGCTCACTCCCCATCGTGCTTCTAGTTATTAATCATGACTTCTTAAACGTGACTGTAACAGTTGGGGTTCAAGAACTTGTCCGCTGAAACAGAATCACTCATGTAGTAATTATCCAAGGAGAGGCTCTTACCTATTTAGTTAAATCCAGATGGAGACAACATTATTATTATTATTATTATTGTTATTATTATTATTTGGACAGGCAGTGTGTATTGGATGTGTATCTTGTCTGTTTTTGCTTTATTTACTTGAGGACAGCACAACAAAAATACTGTTATAATTCGTGCAATGCCAGTTTTCATTTGAGGTGCAGAAGAAGAAATGAAAACTACAAAACGTACAGTTTAAAGAGCTGACTTGAAGACAGTTTGCTCTCACGGATGAAATTATTGAAACTGTTATAATCGATAGGAGCTGCCAACAAACTGTCAGCTGAAACCCTCTTCGCAGGGGCTTGGATGAGTTGAATCCTACCGCCACTGCACTAGTTCTCGTCTCCTCCGGCCATAGACTTTTGTCAGTTCAGATGCAAAAACCACATGAGGAACCTCACCTCTGGCAACATTTTCTTTTTGTAGCTGGAACAAATAATGAAGGCATGTAGCTTGTAGTAAATAGCTTGGAATAATGGCTTAAATAGTTTGCCTCATCAAGCTCAGACTCACTGACTGTTGGAACGGCACTTTACAAGCATGTAGCTATTTCTGATTTCAGTCTTCTTGTCTCTGTTTATCACAGCTTCAGGCTTTCTTACTCATGGCTGATGACATCATGGATGCGTCTGTGACTCGGAGAGGACAGCCCTGCTGGTACAAGAAGGTGAGACTTCAAACGTCCTAAAGAAGCTGAAATCTTTTTTTTTTTTCATTTCTAGTGTACCTCGTGTAAATCATATCTTTTTTTTTTTTTTTTAAGGACGGCATAGGCTTGGATGCTGTCAACGACTCACTTCTTGTGGAAGGGTCCATCTACAGACTGCTTCGCATACACTGCAGGGATCAGCCCTATTACGTCCATTTACTGGAGCTGTTTAATGAGGCAAGTGTGTGTCCGTGTGAGGTGGTGGTGATTTGGAGTAGTTATGAAGGTGTGTCCATTATGAGTTACGAGATCACACATAATTACAGACAGCGTGTGGCTTTGAAAAAAAAAAAAAATGTCTGTGACCTGAAAAGTGAATGATAACATAAAGATAAGACACAGTTTCTACACATCAGTGCTGGTTTTAAATCCATTCACGCCATTTTTTGTTAGGTTTTCAGTCACAACATCCATCAAACTCCCCTAATCTATCTAAAGCGTATGTATTTTTACTTGTACACTGTTGTCATTTTGTATATTTTGCATGTGTTTCAGACGACGTTCCAGACGGAGCTCGGTCAGGTGTTGGACCTGATCACGGCTCCACCAGGCCAGGTAGACCTCAACAGATTCACCATGGAAAGGTCAGAAGAAAAGTGTCTGAAACGAGCCCCAGAACGTTGAACATGTATTAAATAATCACAGCGGGCAGTTGTTTAATGCAACAGATATTTGTGTTTTTGTCGTCTTCCAGGTATAAAACAATTGTAAAATACAAAACTGCCTTCTACTCTTTCTACCTCCCAGTGGCTTCTGCGATGTACATGGTGAGTGTTTTTGTGTTCAGTCGTTCAATAAGATAAAGATGGCATTGAGTAAAAGGTTCTGTGTTAAGGTCATGAGATAAGATGATGCCGTGTGGCTTAGTGACAGCTTGTGACACTTTGTTTTTCCTTTTTTAGGCAGGAATTAACAGTGAAGAGGAACACAAAAATGCCAAACACATTTTACTTGAGATGGGAGAGTTCTACCAAATACAGGTAGTTGATTTTATGGATTGTAGCCAAAAAATTACCAAAAATTCCCAGTAATCAAATCATGTGCTGCTGATCATGCTGATGTAAGAAGCATCTGGTGTGTTTTTTGATTTGCAGGACGACTACTTGGATTGCTTCGGTGACCCTGCTGTGACGGGAAAGATTGGCACAGACATCCAGGACAATAAATGCAGCTGGATGGTGGTGAAAGCTCTGGAAGTTATGACTCCTGAACAGAAATCAGTTCTGGAGGTGAGACTTCTAAAAAACCCTTTTCTATCAGGGAGTAACATTCTTGATCTGGGACCTGAGTCCAAATTTAATACCACAAACATACCAATGTGAACTGGTATGACAATAAAAAAAAATCCTTGAATCCTTAACACTTGAAAATAAGACCTGCTTGTTCTCCAAGAAGCACACTTTAATTAACTCTAAGATGGCATCAACATATAAGTTGTGTATTTATCCATATACTTGGCTGCATATACAAAAAACTTTTCCACGACTGTGACTAAACGTCGGAAGAATATGCCCATTCAAAACCACTACCTTATGACCTATGTGCTAGTTTCTGTTCCTCAGTGGCTCAGTCTAACGATGGTTGAGGCATCGGCCTCTTTGCACGTCCTGGGTAACATCTGTTACAGCTGGTTTACTCTCAGGAGGTCAGTGCCTCCAAAAATTGTGAATCACCCCCTAAATGAAAAATCGAATGCAATGATTTTCAAATCTTAAGAACCCATATTTTAGTCACAATGGAACATGGTAAACGTATCACATTTTAAAGTTGTTCCAGGGACAACAGGAAGCTGGTGAGTAGTTCTAATTGACAGCTGGAGGAACATTTGGCAACAAATGAGGTTCATCAGCAGAAGGTAAGTAAGAACACTGGGTATAAAAAAAAAAAACGTTTTAGAGGCCAAGTCTCTCAGCAGTAAAGATTAGCAGAGGTTCAGCAGTCTGCAAAAACTGTCTTTAATTAGTGGAAAATTTTCAGAATAATGCTTCCTAAAGGAAATTGAGGGAAATTTTCAAATATCATAATCTACAGTTTATAACATGAACATTTTTCAAGCATCTGGATACATCTCTGAGCTCAAAGGACAAGGCTTAAAATGAAAATTTGATGCTCGTGGTCTTAGAGCTTTAACCAGCATTTGCGGTTGGCTCAGTCATGCAATGAAGAAGTCGTATGTGATCATTCAGGATTTGGCCAAAGCTCCTTTTTTTAAAATGGACTGAGGCAAAGTAGAGAACTGTTCTGTGGTCAAACAAATTGAAATATAAAGGTTTTGTTTTGGAAACTACTGACTCCACTTTCTCTGGACTAAAGAGGAGACGGACCATCTAGTCTGTTAGCTCGCAGTTCAAAAATCTGCCTCTCTGATGGTATAGGGGTGCATTAATACCTTTTTGGCAAGGGTAGCTTTCACATCTGGAAAGTAAACATCAATGCAGCGTATATAAATTTTCAAACAACCTATGCTCCCATTTAGATGACGTCTTTTTCAGGGAAGGCCTTCAGCAAGACGACGTTAAACCACAGACTGCAGCCGTTACAACAGCATGGTTTTTTTAGGAGGAGTCCAAGTGAGGGACTGACCCGCCTGCACTCCAGACAGTTTACCATCTGAAAACATTTAATCGTGTTTGCCGGTTACAGATAAACCACTCGATGGTTTTGAATGAAACTTCCAGGAAATAATCATCAGACGTACATCTACCACTGATTACTTTTTGGTGTCTGCTCGTTTTAAAATGGCTGCCACAGTTAATTGATCGTAGAAAAGAAAGAGAGTCCTTTTCAGTTCAAATTTGGTGTGGTAGTAGTTAAGGATCATCCCCATCACATGCTACAAGGCCACAGGCAACAAAAAGCTGGTTTAATCTGTAAACATTTCATCTGGACATGGATTCTTTCGGGTTGTGTCCATGCATTTCCTGTCTTGTTGTAAACCCTGATTCTTTCTTGTAAAGTGGTTTTAATGTGACTTTCCTCGTCCTCCTCAGGCTTGTTACGGTCTCAGTGATGAAGCCAGTGTGGCGAAGGTCAAAGAACTCTACCACTCCCTGCAAATGCCAACACTGTATCAGAAATATGAAGAGGAGAGCTACCAGCGGCTGCAGAAACTTATCGTTCAGCACTCTCAGAATCTTCCCAGCTCAGTCTTTCTTATCTTTGCCAAGAAAATCTACAAAAGGGACAAATAAGGACTGGTCTTTGCTGTGGAAACGATGAGGAGTTTGAACTCGAATGCAGAAATCGATTCCTCTAACTTTTTATAAAAGTGTTCGTGTTTCTAGAGCACGAGCTAAATTGAATTGTCATTTAGGCAGATTTTCATTGAGGTGTAAATATCTGGTTATGAATGTCATCAAACAGCCTGCAAACCTATTTTTACTGGTTTTGAATAATGTTGCTTTCTGCTTTCTAGAATGTGTATTTGGATCAGTGGCATTGTGTTTGTGTGAGATTGTTAAATTAAATGCTTGGTTTGTCGAAACTCCTAACAGGACTGATACTTTGAGGAGCCTGTGTTCATTTCTTTTTTATTTTTATTTGACTTTTTACAGAGAAATGGGTTGACTCTAAAATAGGCCATGCAGGGCATGATTCAACCTGAGAAGAATTAAACAATACATTAACTGTACAGTAGCAATTCTTGTAAAAGCATATACCAGTATTTATTTTTATTTTAGGCTTGAAATCTGGGAGTTTAGGCAAATGCATCCTGATTATCTTCATAAATTTTATTTTATATTGAATTCATTAAGTCTGAATGTAATATATTTCATTAAATTATCATCAGTTCTCTTTGGATCCTAATATTTGTGTGTATCTGATAGAAAGAGCAGTAGAGAACCCTCAGGGCCTTCCACGCCTTCAGAGAAGGCATAAGAATGCAACACATGAAATGTTACACTTAAATTTTAATTTAAAATTTACTGTATATAAAATATGTATTTTCAAAGATTTATTTATTGCTAATTATGTATTTTCTTTGTAAACTACTTTGCAGGTAAGCAAGACATGTTTTCATTCATGAAAATACAGTTATCCAATCAGATTATTTTTTTAGTCTCCAGGCAGAAACATGTTTGCAGGTTCTCTGTCATTGGTTAGGACTTCACTGTCAGGAGAGAAGGCTGAACTCACTCCAGAATGAGTTTGTTTAATAACTTACAGGAAAATTAACCAATCACAATGCTGATGTAGACTGGGTGGGACCAAAACTGAGATTTTGGAAGGCCCTGCAAGATGTTTTTATTCATTTATTTGTGACCACATGAAGCTTTGTGATGCTTTCAGGTGTAACCTGTAATTTCGAAAGTTCACACTGAAATTGTAGTTGTCCTAAAAATGACGGTCAAATATCCCATTTATGTTTACATTGTTAATTCTCAGTATTGCAGCTGTATAACCGTTTCATTACGTGATCAGTTTTTACAGAATCAGTAAGTTCTGTGTGTTACTGTCACATTTTAGAGTGAATTAATTAAATTACATTTCTATGCAAAACTGGGTGAGCCACAGGATATTTTGGGTAGTCTTGGGACAGAAATGGATGGACCTTTTCAGGTTTATTTAGATGGGTTGTCCATTTTGGTTTTTCTGTTTAGTTTTGGGTTGGCATTTATGTTAAGGTTTGTTAGTGACTAAAAAGTGACTATAAAGTGATTTAAGTGAACCACAGCTTCATATGTCCTGGATGTCGGTGTGTTCAAGGTGGGCACAATTTTACTTCTTAACTAATGGCCTAACTTTTATAGTCGTGGTTTGCCACTGAGAAATAGAAATATGAGCAACTAGTGTGGAAAGAAAGAAGTAAATGTTAAAAAGTTTACTATGTTTTCTGCATTTTTTTGGGCATATTTGCCAGTACTGGAAATTTTTCATATTCATAAAATAGGCTATCCTATAACTTCTTACTGAGAAACTATTTAAAGATTATGACTTAATATAATTACAAGATGCCCAAGTCACTTTTTTTTATAGTATCTCATAATTAGTTGTGAAGTCATAATTTTGAGATACTAGCTTGAGAAAATATGTCTTAATGAGTCATTCAGTAATTATGAGATACTGACCTGGAGAAGGTTTATGACCATGAGGTATTTTTTTGTGGTGGTGGGTTGCAGATGTATAGGGTGCCATGGTTACTTCTAAAGGCTATCTGTATCTCTGTAGGAGGGACAGGAGCTGTGTCTATATCCCACATGGTCAAGATCTTTCCTGGTGCAGGTTGGACTCCACCATGGCTGTCTCTAGTCTCCGATCCAGTTTGTGGTGTTCATGGACAGGATCTCAAGGTGCAGTCAGGAGAGGAACGAGTCTGGTTTGAGGACCTCAGGGTCTTCTTGCTGCTTTATGACGATGATAAGATTCTATTAGTGTGTTTGGGCCATGATCCTCAGCGTGCGCTGGGACAGTTTGCAGCAGAGTGGGAAGTGGCCGAGAGTCAGCTCTAAGTGCAATGTCATGGTCCTCAAGTGGAATACCCCCTCTGAGACAGGGGGAAGCCTTTTCCTAAGGTGGAGGAGTTTAAATATTGTTATGTTCACGAGTAATAGTTGGATGGAGTGGGAGATGGATTGACAGTTCAGGGCCTTACCCTCAGTAATGAGGGTGTTGCTTCGGTTGGTGGTGGTGAAGAAAGAGTTGAGTCAAAAGGCAAAGCTCTTGATTTCCTGGTGCATCAATGTTCCAGCCCTCATTTATTGTCTTTAGACATGTCTCATGACTGAAAGCACAAAATCTCAAATACAAGCGGCTGAAATTAGCTTCCTTCGTAGGATGTCCACGCTCAAAGACCGGGTGAGGAGCTATGTTGTCTGGGGACACCTCTGAGTAGAGCAGCTGCTTTTTCATATCAAAAGAAGTCAGCTGAGTGGTTTGATCTACAGGAGGCTTCCCGAATGCCTCCTCTTTGGGTGTTTTCTGGTTACGTCCCACTGGAAATAGACCCCGGGAAGACCCAGAACTGGCTGGGAGGATTACTCAGACCTTAGAACGCCTTGGGGTCCAGGAGATCTCGGGAGTGTCACTAAGGAGAGGTCTGGTTGGTACTTTCAGTGCAACATGTATGTATGGAGGATGGCAAGGAAGAAGAGGAGCTGTTGCAGTAGGTGGTGGAATAACACCTGTCGAAGTGGACATACCTATTTTTCAGGATTTCTTAACAGAGCTGACACGGTCCTGAGGGTCCCTAATAACCTCCAGCTTTCTCTCCTGTACCTGTTGCCATTGTGACCCATCTGAAGATGGACCATCTTATCGCCATAAAACTGGTTGGCCCACTAGTGTGCTACCTATGGGATTGAGTTTATTGTGGCTCCTCGAACTGAAGAAGTCTTTTGGATAAAAAGCAAAATGTTTCAACAGAAAGAAACCATCCAGAGGACCTGATTTAACTGCTGGATTTTTTTCATCTGGATTATTGAACATGGACATATCTCAAGTCTCAATTTATTTTGCTTTACTATCTCATAAATATGGCACATAATATTTTTTTAATCAAAGTGTGGGCTTTCACAGTAACAGACGGCGCGAAAGCCATGTTAAAAAAATATTACAGATAAATTTGACAACAACAATAATGGGCGTGGCTTAGAAGAGGCTGAAAAATTATGAACTCTCGCGAGAACACAGTACATGACTGTGTAAACTCTCGCGAGAACACACAGAACCTAGTGCTCGTCCTCCTCCCTCTAGTGCTGGGATGTGAGAGAGAGACCCGGAGGAGATGGAGACCTTCATCCATCTTTACCCGAATCTGACCGTGAGTCCCTCTTTACTCATTTTCGTCATGTACATTCATTTTTAAATTACGATTTTGTTGGGTGGGGGTGCTGCTCTCTTGACGGGAGACGTTTCAAACGGCGGCTGCGCAGGTTTAAAACATTTAAATTAATTAGCTTTAACCGTTGGGAAAAAAATGTAGCTAAAAAAGCATTAGCCTTGTTACAACGTATGTTGAATGAAGATTTTAAAACAGTGCAGCCTGATATTGGAGGCTTAAATGGGGCGTGTTGGCCTGTCTGTGTGTGTCAGAACGATGCGGGTGGAGGAAGACCCCCCCCCCTCCCTCCTCCACCCTTCATCCACCCGTGCCTCCATCAGGGATCGATCCTGACTGAGCACAGTTAAAACACAGACAAGGAAATATCATTTTATGGGTTAAAACGTCCTTATAAGTAACTAAAGCCTTCCCAGTGAAGGAGTATGAGCAATAACAGCCCCTGGGTAAGATGGACTCTGCCTGATTATTTCATGCTCCAGTTAAATGTGCATTATGTTCACTCACAAAAAGAGATTTTTCTCTTCTGGTTCTCTTGTCCTCTTGTCTTAGCTTGCAGAATGGACTGACACAGATGGAGAGGGGCTGTATATGAATATCAATAGATCTGGGAGAACAGATGATATATACGAGCTGACTAATATTTTCACAGAATAAATTCAAACCGTGCGAGGGCGTCTGAAATCAACTGGACATCATGTCATAAACATTTGGATTTCTCTGTATAGAATAATAGAATTAGGCCCGTTTTGGTCAAACTTGGAAATAGCATGGTCGTGCAATCTGTTATCAAGATAAATTAGTCTCAAACGTAGTCACACAGTGCGTACAATAAGAACCACAAGATTCACAAATGCATAAACGGTTTTTTCAAATGTATACATTTCAATTTGCAAAAGTAGGAATATTCTGCACATACAAATGATCAAATACACTAAACAAATAACTGTAGACGGACTGGACTGGTCAACACCAGCGCAATGATCAGCTGCCTGTGGATGTGACTTTTGATTTCTTACCTCTCCAGATTCACTAAGTTAATGCTGCGTTCAAGGCTGGTGAAAAGCTGGGACATCTGAGTGTTACCAGATTTACTAATTGAGAAAAGACCCGCAGCACGGTGGCGCAACTGGTAGAGCTGCTGTCACTCAGCGAGCAGGTCCCGGGTTCAAACCCCGGTCCGGGGGCCTTTCTGGGTGAAGTTTGCATGTTCTCTCTGTGCATGCATGGGTTTTCTCAGGGTGCTCCGATTTCCTCCCACACACCAAAAACATGCATGTTAGTTTGATTGGTAACTCTAAATTGTCCCTAGGTGTGAGTGAGAGAGTGAATGGTTGTTTGTCTCGTTTGTCTCTATGTGGCCCTGTGATGGACTTGCGACCTGTCCAGGGTGTACCCCGCCCCTCGCACGGTGATTGCTGGACATGGGCACCGGCGACCCCGTGACCCAAAATGGAAGAAGCGGGTAAAAGATAATGGATGGATGGATGGGAAAAGACCCATTTCAGACTTGGCACAATAGCACATAACCCCTATATTAAAACACATACGCACATACATTAAAAATATATTTTCTGGTATTTTCCTCCTTTGCTAAAAGTAACGGAAAATATATTTTTCTGGTAGTTTTTTTCAGAAGAAAGAATTTGTAACGTTTTGGACTGTTCAAGTGAAATAAACATCAAAAGTGGTTAGGTTATTCTTCTGGTGGAAAAACTACTAGAGAAATATGTTTTACCAGTAATATATACATATTTCTTTTTCCTGAAACATTGCCCAGATGAAAAATAACCTGCTCATTTTATTTAATTTTTTTATTTTTTATCATACAGTCCACAAAATTAACATGTTTGGAATCCAGTAATGTCAATTTTTAGCATATGTGTTTTATTATTGAGGTTATGAGCTACTGTGCCAAGTTATAAATGAGTATTTTCCCAATAACTTAGTAAACCATACCATACCATTTTATTTATAAAGCACTTAAAACAGCAACAAGGCCAACCAAAGTGCTGTACAGACAGAACAACAGGTAACACACAAAGCAACATACATAAATCAGGTAACTTTCAGATGTCCCAGCTTTTCACTAGCCTTGAACGCAGCATTACTTTTGTGATTCAGGAGCAGAAAGAAAGTTTCAGAAAGTGACATTCACAGGCAGCTGATCCGTGCGCTCGTATTGACTCATTTGTCCACAGTAGGTGATTTGTGCACATGTACTTGACTATTTGTATGCGCAGAATATTCCTACTTTTGCTAATTGAAATGTGTACATTTGAAAAACTGTTTATGCATTTGTGATTCTTATAGTACGTGTTTGTAAAACTTGTGGCACGCTTGTGGATCTTATTGTATGCATACAAATCTCATTATACGTTGGTATGACTACTTTTGAGACTCATTTATCTTCGCAATCTGTTAGCTTTTGGAACTTGTGACTCTCAGCTACTACCGCACCAAGCTCTATCTTGATATCTGTAAAACTGACTGAGTTGTTGCAATTTTTGTGTTTTCTAAAGTCAGTTATCTTTGGTGACCATCTTGTATCAAGTTGACTCCATAAGTTAGACAGTTGTAGATGTACATCCAATGATTCTTTTCCAAGAGTTTAACTAAGTTCCGATCAGTGGTTCAGGAGATATTTTGCTAACAGACCAACAATCAAAGCCAAACTTTTAAACAAAGATCTCACAAAATGTGTTTGCACTCTGAGTATTTGTTGGGGAAGTCTCTCAGCTACCACAACTAATTTTAGCTCAATGTCTATAAAATGGAATAAGTTGTAGCTAATTTTGTGTTCTCTATAGTTGGTTAGCTATGGCAGCCATCTTGAATCAATCTGACTCTGAAAGGTAATAATTTATAGATGTACATTCAATAAATTCCATCCACTTGTAGTGAACTAGGCCTCAGGTCAAATCTGGCCTTGAGGGGCCTTCCTGGAACAAGAACTGTATTTCATTGATTTGAGTCCAGAAACACAAAATCAAGTCCATCCAGAAGACTTTTTAAGTGTTCTTTCAATTGATCAGTGCAGGACACTTAAAAAGTCTAGTTCACTACACACTAATTTATGAAATATTTTGCCAACAGACATAAATAAACACACAGACAGTTACATAATTTTCCACCTTCCATGGTGTTTGATAATACATTTGTGCATTTTTGTATTTTAAATATTAATTATATATTTTTTTAATTTACCAACTGCCGTAGAGTTTATGCCACGAAGATGAGCTGCTTCCAGCTGTCAAGACAAATGTTTGTTCTTTTAAAATCCTGTCTTTGACAGTGTTAAAACCCAAACTCCAAAAGCAACTGTGTTTTTGTGAAAAGTGGACACATATGTTGGGTTTTCTACAGTTTAGTTTCAATACAGAAATGTGATAAGCTTTGTTCTGGATGAGCAGACGTTCCTCACTACGTGTCCTTTGATGTTGCAGGATGTGGGAGTCAAGCCAACATGTGACTGTCACAGTGCGTCATAGTTAGGTTCTGTCCAGCCTTTACGCTCGTTTCTATAGCATCACAGAACTTCAGAGAATCCTAAAACATCCCAATTACCCACAATGCAGTCCTCTTCTCAGGCTCCGAAGCCGCGGCGTTTCGATGCCAGCAGGCGGACCACTACCTCAGCTGGATCAAAGTTCCACGGTTCCAGTTTTAAGAGGGAGGATAAAAACATGAACACGATCACCACAACCTCCCCGCGGCGGGTTACTAAAGCCCCTGCTGCTCCCTCTAGGACCAGGGTGGGTGTGCAACCTCGAGCTTCAGTAATCCAGTCCAGGCTGAGCTCACAAAAACAGGGACCTGCCATTTCCAAATCAGCTAAACCCAAACCTAAAGGTGCTCGTGTATCTACAGTAGCCCCTACTGCAGCTGAGGCTGCTCCTCTTTCTCCTCTTCTTCTCCCCTCTGTTCTCCCTCTCGACCCAAACTGCAATGAGCCAAGTCTCCCGTGTCTGTGCTGCGATGGGCGCTCCCCGCAGGACAACAACAGCATGTTCAACCACAACCACAACAACAACAACACCATATCTCTCCGGCAGCAGCTGCAGTTGCCGCCTCCTCCAGCCCCGTGGCCCCAGAGGCATGATGGGACAGCGGTCAAGGAGGAGCTCCCCTCTTTAGCACAGGCCCACATGGAGCCTCCTGCCAACCCTGCTGCCAAACTGGAGAATGAAGTGAAGAAGGCCGATGAAGGCGCTGAAGTAGACAACAATAAAAAGGTGGAGGAGGACGATGACGATGAAGAGAGCAGCGGAGATGTCGCCATTGAAGATGCTGCGGAGGAGACGGACAGTGACGACGATGATGATGATGACACGTTGGTGCCGTCGTGCTGTGACTGCCCACGGTCCCTCTTGGAGTTCTCGCTCTCCTCGTCTACCTCCTCATCCTCTACTTCCATCAGCTCCTGCTCTGACTTGGAGTCTGACGGTACAGATCAGTCTCTCTGTTCCGCCAATGATCAGGACGATCAGGAACCCAAAAATAATACCCCTAATCTGGTCCCCAAGTTCCAGCTTTCTGCACAGTCACCTCAATCTCTTCCTGTCAACCAAAACCCTTTCTCCCAAACATCATGTTCCCCGAACACTCTTTGTTCCCCAGATGAGGGCTACCCCTCTGCGCTCGACTCACCCTCTCCAGAATATTTAGGACTGAAAGGTGACTCGGAGGTTAACAAATTAGACTTGCTGGACTTTCTAGAGTCTGTAGGGGAGTTTGGGAAAATGGAGCGCTTCAGCCAGGTGATTCAAGTGGCTCGTTGGGATCTGGAAGGGGAGCAACACTGGGACGTTCTGCGAGATCGGTTAGATCACCTGGATCGTTTGGAAAAGGTAAACAGGGAGGTAAAACTAGCGTACGTTGCCAAACTTCATGAGAAAGGGTGTGATCTCGGGGATCTGGAGGAGCAGGACCTCACAGATGTCCTGGATGAAATGGGCAACATAGATATTCCCTGGAAGTTGTATAAAACCCACAGTGAAACTATGGGCGGCTCCCAGGAGTTTTCCGACGCTGGAGTTGACCTGAGTGCCCCTTCAGACACCGATGAGTCTCTTGTTCCAGATTCCCTCCCCCCCTCTCCTGAGGAGCCACCACCCAGACCCCCAAAACCTCCAGCACGTCACGCCAGCGTGATCTCTGACCTCCACACCTACATCAACATCAGCAGAGAAGGCTCCTCCATGAGCATCACCACCTCCCCTACGCTGACCACTTTCTCCCCAAACTCCTTATCCCCCACATTCACGACGTTCAGATGTGAGAAGCCCCTTCCCCTATCTCCGGCATCCACTCCCCCTCTTCCCGCCTCAAAACCAGTTTCGTACCTCTCCCTTTATACCACTCCATCTCCCCCTCCATCCATCCCCACCCCGACGCCTCCCATCCCTCCACCCAGAAAGCGACATCTTGCCCGTAAGGAAGCCCAGCGCCTTGCTGCTCTTCAAGCCGAACAGGAGAAGACCCCACTCTCCCTTCCACCGCCCACCACACGGCCTCCGCCTCTGCCTCCCCCACCTGTTATCTCTGTTACGTCTTCCTCCTCTCCACCTGCCTTGCCTCCCCCTCCGTCTTTCCATGCGTTGGATGTAGAGATTCGGAAGCTGTTAATGCTCGCTGGGTTGACACAGGCTGAGCTCCTCAAACTCAGCCCTGAGCTCGGTGTCTGTGTCGGGGGCTTGGAGGATGAGGAAGAGGGCGATAATCGTGTTACGTCCCCATCTCTGGAGCTGCAGGAGTTCAGATTACAAGACGGGGTCAGGGAGAGTGAAACTGATGCAAGCAAGTTGGATGGAGATCGAAGAGTGGATCTACCTGAAGGCAGCAATAAGGAGGAGAGTAAGAACACACAAAGAACCACTTCATTTACAGAGATGGCAAGAAGGAGGAGGAGGAACACTAGTCTGACAGCGGACCAGTACTACAGCTCAAGTTTTAGCAAAGCTTATGAAGCGACGAGTTTTGGGTCTTTCCATTATCCCAACCAGGTACTAGATTCTCCCCCGCCTCCTCCTCCGCCTCGCCCTTTACCACCCATTCCCCCTTCCCTGCCGTCCCTTAAAGTCAGTACCTTGTCTGCCAACTCTGAGCAGCCTGAGCGCTTTGATTGGCTCATAGCATTCACACCAGAATGTGAACCCCCCCCACAGCTCCGAACTCCAGAAAAGCAAAAATCTCGCATGGAAACCCCCAAAAAGCTCTCCTCATCAAGTTCATCTCCAAGTTCAGGTCCAAAAGTGACAACCTTCAAAGAGTTGCGCTCCCGCAACAAGAGCGCCTCCCCTCCGACAAAGGTGATCAGTGACCCCGAGCCCGACCCCACAGTCATCACCCCCGATCCAGATATACTCTACAACTTAAAGTGGAGAAGAGAGAAGGCAGGCAGCAATGGAAACCAGTGGGAATACACTTCGCAGGCTCAAGCCCTGTTTATGCAGCCGCCGCCGGCGCTCACCTCCATGGCCGCCCTGCAGGAGATGCTGCAGAGAGCCAACGAGAAGGGTGGGCTGCCAGAGCTGTGCCCGTCACAGAAGAATGGCTGCTCGGTCAGTGACAGCAGCCTGTGGACCGTAGGCAAAGAGAGGGTGCGAGGAGAAGGTCAGCGAGACAAACAGGAAATAAAGGAAGAGGAGGAGGATGTTGTGGTGAGAGGCCAGGCTGATGGAGGGAGAACTCTGGAATCAAGAACCACGGGTGAGTGTTAAAAAACAGTAGTTTGAACATTTTTATAGCTACTGTACTGTGCAAGGGACTTGAGTCTTCTATCTTCTTTAGATTTTGATTCTAGGGAGCCAGACTTTCTTGTATTCTTGAGTAGTTTTATTTTACAGACTTCTGTTTAAATTTAGCTGCTTTTTCATTCAATGTTAGTCCAGCACCTGAACATTTTAGTAACATATTTTGTTTGTTTGTTGAAGCTTCTTAGCGGCTTCACTTGTGAATCATAAAACGTTGAGGGATGAACCAGTTATTGGCACATACTTTAAACTAAACAAGGAAACTAACTTAAGCTGGACCTTTAGGTACTTTGTTACCAGCAGCCGGTCACAGAAGCACAATTTGTTTAATTTCATTTATGAAAAATACCAAAGATAACAGCTTGAGACTAAATGTTTACATTTTAGTAGCAACGAGGTAATTCCCAAAGAGTTATTAGAGGAAAACTTGACATACATTCATTCTACTGAAGAATGATGCATCTCTCCGGTTCTGCCTCAGGTCCTTGTTGGATCATTTCCTACTTCCTAAAGATATGACCATGAAGGTATCTTTTACTTGTCCACTTTCCTAAAGTTTACACACTCTACTCAGCGTGCTGTCCTGGTCAGATACTGTTTTTGAAGACTGGCTAGAAGATGAGTGAAAAAGCAGCCAAAGTCCAACAAAACAAAAAAGAAAGCCTAAGGAACTATTGATCAGATAAACTTTGAAAGACCGCAGAAATGTTTGGCTCCTTGGACTTAGAAGATAAACAGAAATATGTGCTTTCCAACTTTTACACAGTATTGTACAACTTTGTGTGATAAGCAAATTGAACTCTGGGATGAACAGATAATAAATAATAGATGAGTTTAAAAGGACGCTCAGAAAAAAAACAACATATCTACATACATTTAAAAAAAAAAAAAAGAAAACGTTAGCTCGTTAGTGGTAATGATGCGTGCAGTGGGAGCAAAAAAGAAAGCGTGAGTCACAGAAAGGGATGATGTTCGGAGGGATGAGCAATGAGTGTAAACTGAAAGATGGAGTGAAGAAGACGGAAATCAATTTGAAGAGAAGAAAGAAGCTTTCCAACTAGTACTTCCTGTACTGATGATCAAAATGTGATGTCATCATAACCGCATTCAATAATTCATCCCTTCTTTGTCCTGAGAGGGGGACATGGTGGAGAGCCCACAAAGGGAGTGTTTCTCGGTCTTATTTCCTTTCATCCCATTTTCTGTGTGTCCCTTCCTTACTGGGTTTAAATCCCATCAGCTCGGGGTGTTTATGTGCTTTCTGCCCATCTCGCCTGCTCCATCCCAGAGTAGTTCAGATAGCTCAGATCAAGTTACTGATCTAATGCAGTGCTGCAGTAACTCAGGTTAGACTGTCCAGACAGGGGTGAGAGTTCAGCCTAATGCTAAACGTCTGCTCAGTATTTCGCAGAATAATTTATCTGATAAATACATAGATAATTATTTTACCTCAACTACATGCATAAATGAAAGACATTCCTTTAAAGTTTTGGCTAATTTGGTCAAACGTTAAATTAAATTTTTTGCACAGTCTGATGCTATATTGCGATGTCTCGTGTGTGCGTTGTGAACAACTGTCAGCTACTACCACAACAAAGTTTAGTTCAATATCTGTTAAATTCACAGAGTTATGGTATTTTATGTCTAAGCCTAGATTGATTAGCTGTGGCAGCCATCTTGAACTGAGACAACTTCAAAAGTTAATCAGCTGTAGATGTAAATTCAATTATTACTTTCTGAGAGTTTTCATTGACTTTTGTTTAATGGTTCATGGGATATTTTGCTAACAGACGAACAGGGTTGACTTCAAAAGTTAAAGCTAAATTTTCCAGCACAGATGTCAACAAAATGTGTTGTGTTGTGCTTAAAAGGTGTGAAGGTGAAGATGCTCAGCTACTACCACAACAAATGTTTGGAAAATATCTATAAGATGGGCTGAGTTACAGCTATTTTTGTGTTTCCTACTTTCAGTTGGCTGTGGTGGCCATCTTGAATTGGGTTGACACCAAAATTTATTCAGATGTAGTTGTACAGCCTATAATTACTGTCTGAACATTTCATTAAAATTCATTAAATGGTTCATGAGATATTTTGCTAACATACAAAGCTAATAAATAATGGCAAAGTTTTATGGCACAGATGTTGTGCAATCTGTGACTGCTCAGAGTCTGTTTTGAGGATTATTCTCAGCTACTACCACACCAAATTTGAGCTCGATATCTGTAAAACTGACTGAGTTATGCCATTTTTATCTTCACTCAGATAGTTGCTTCAGCAGCCATCTTGGATTGGGTTCACTCCAAAAGCAAACAAGTTGAATAGGTCAGACTGATAATTACTTTATGAAAGTTTCATTAAAATTTGTTCCGGGCTCTATGAGATATTTTGCTAATAGTACAGACAAACAAACACACACAGATATGGGTAATGGCGGCCGAAAATTAAAAAATTATACAATAAAGGATGAGACAAAACAAAACAAAAAACTGTATGTACACCTTTAAGAGCACAGGGGGCGGAGCCTTTTCCACGAGCCAATAACAGAGAAGTGGTGTCTCGTAAATAGGAAGTGTCATTTGTTGACCACAGTTCAAAGGCAGCACAAGTCCTCACAAGGTACCGTGTCCTCTTTAGCTCTTTTTCCAGCCTGCAGCAGAGCAGAAAACTGTGCTGTCACTCTCTGAATCTCCACAGAGCGCCGTGAGTGAGCTGAAACACAACTGACTTATCTGTCTGACTCAGCATTACACCAGTGGTGGAAAAGAATGGGAGGGAGGGGGTCAGGAAGTAAGGAAACGACACCGTGATGAGGAAGGTGTTCTAAAGATGGCACTGCAGCAAAGCGTAGACTGGCTCTCGTAAGCAGGCAAAAGAAAGTGAACGTATAGTTTCATATGGGAACTTTAAACCTGTAAACATCAGCTGTGGCATTTCAGTCATAATGTACTGTATAGTTTCCTGGCTCATCAGGATGAATTTCTTTTGAAATGCAAGAAAATCTTCCTCATATTTATCATAATTAGAACTGCACAATATTAGACCAAGTGATGTCCCCTGTTGCTGAGGGATTTGGACAGTTAAAGTTAGTAGTTTTCAAGATGACCGTTTTTCTAGACTGGATTTTGATGTGGCAACACCTAGATGCAGCAACACAAATAAAATAGAATTAGGCACGTTGCCTGTTTTTCAAATTATCCAACTCACAAGGTTTACATATATTCTGGTGGCCATCTTGGATTTTGTCGTGGCAACCCAATGTGTCCCCTAGAAGCCACACATCAAAATGGAAGTCTGTACCTCCCTTATTTTTCAAGATATGCTCACAACATGCACAGACGGGTGAACGCAGGGCATTAACAATTCCTCTGCTCTACTTCGCGATGGGGAACAAAAAAACATGCTATAGTGTTATGATGGAACATCATGATTGACAATAATGTCAATGTCAATTTATTTATATAGCACATAAAAACAACAAAAGCTGACCAAAGTGCTTTACAGCTAAGACAGGTTAAAAATTAAAAACAGAGTAAAAATGCATCTAGTGCCACTCAAAAACGTAAGTTGACAGTAAAAACAACACACAACAACAATAAAATCAGCTCAACTTGTTCTCAGACTCTGCGTGGATGAAATGCCAAGGAATATAAATGAGTCTTGAGCAAAGATTTAACACATATTTACCACTATCTTTACACCAGCTGTGGGCAGTTAGGGCAGTAAGACTTCATCAGATTGACCAAATATGTGACTGACCGAGCCTGAATCCATGGCACTTGGAATATAAGGGTCAGTAATGTATTTCAGTTCTTTACAATATTCATATTGCTCATATTGATATTGCTGTGATGATAGATGTTCATCATATTGCAGCGGTTTAGTCGTAACCTAACACTGACAATAAATCCAGATTTGTATTTGTACAGATCAAACTCATGATCACTGGTTCTGCTCGATTTGTGGTAGAAACATCAGCTGTCTGATCACCACTGCCTTTATCTGAATCAATAAAAATAGTAAATATGAACAACATAATGTAACTTTTTTGTCAGCCTATATTTCACATTTTAAAGCTTAAGTCTATCCTGTTGGTGTACCATACTGTTTTGTTTTTTTCGCGCAACCGAGAAAGAACTCCTGAATCCCACAAGCTGACAGCTTGTTCATTAAAATTTGTCCTTACCACCACTAATGTCCTGCTGAATTTTACTATATAATCTGTTTTTTCTTTAAATGAAACCACTAATTCACAAATTACTTACCAAGCTTTAATAAATAAGATGTAAAACGAGTCTTTATAGAACTTAAACTCAACGTTCCTTGAAGGACTGCATATTGTTTGATGACATATTGCCCAGTTCGTATAAACTTCTTGTGCAATCTGTTTTTTGCTTGGAGTGTGATGTCTCCTAGCTACTACCACACCAAGTGTTAGCTCATTATCTGTAAAACCGACTGAGTTATGGTCATCTTGAATCAGCTTGACTCCCAAGTTTAATTAGGCAATACTTTCTGAGAGTTTCATTAAAATATGTTGACTGGTTCATGAGATATTTTGCTAACAGACAAGTGCATGCAGACACAGGCAAAGACAATAAATAAATCAGAGCTGCACAATATATTAAAGCTGTGTTGTTATTTTTGCATGAGTTTGTACATTCCTGGTCTGTTTGAACTGAGATACATTTTATGCCAATGATATATTCAACCAATTCAAAAGACTCCCACTGCCTCCGACGCCCACAGCTGATTTAGACGATAGTGGCCGAGGCTGTGAATCGAGCAGAAAGAGCTGCGAGCTTCATGCTGGCAGAACAGAAGGAGAGGAGGGAGGAAAATGTGGGTTCATTACATCATGATATTCACACTTTTAGCTAATATTGTGCAGCCATATTACAAACTCTGGACATCATTAGTTTATCTGTAGCAGTTTTTTTTTTTTTTTTTTTTTACCAG